CCCAGGACAGAGTTGGATGGCCTATTCTCCTTCACGAGGAGTAACAGGCGTAAGTAAGTAAGTAAGTATCTTCAATCAACTAAATGATGTGAAGTCACTTAAACTAGTGGTTACACTATACTTAGATTAATAAAATCTGACCAGCATTTAACGAACTGACATAGGCCACTACTCAGTGACTAATGATCTGAAAATATCTCTATCTTATAGGCATTTAATCGTACTTCGAAAATCTTATTACTAATGTTTCACATTGTGAACCTGAATAGTGTGTGTTTAAATTCTCTCTTGAGTACAAATCTCATCAAGAATGTTGGTACACCTCACTGATAAATGCTAATAAACACAAAATCTAAGTCTTAGGTTTCCTGTCTTGACTATCTACAACCATCTAACCTCTCAGTGATTGTATCGATGAAAAAAATCAATTATGGTCGGAATAATCTTTTTGTAAATATGTAAAACATTTGAGAAAATTGCACATACCAAGAAAGAGAGACTAATTGCTTAAAGCAATAAAAAAAAGGTTTCTTTTGTGTTGTTATTTCTTTAAAGAAGAAAAACAGTCCCATCATTTATGTTTTGGTTTTTCTTAGTTTTACGGATGTTAAAATTGAATTAATTAATTATATAAAACGCAATACATAAGAGTTAAATAAATAAAGAAATTACTATCATTCTTTCTTACTTAATAAATAACAAATCTAAAGTTATAACTGAAGAAGACTTTTCATTTTCGGGCGAAATATTGGGATACACTGAAGAAGATTTAACTTTTTTCGACGAAATCATTTGCTCTGAAGCTTACAAGATAAAATGTTTTGTGATTTCATATATCAAAAGAAAATCGCATAATAATCTGAAGGTTAACGAAGAATGGGATAATGAAAATAATTTACCGGTCAAAAATTCAAAAGATAATTGTTTACATGATGGATATAAAGATGTAATGAAAAACATACTGGTGAAAGTAAGAGTTGGATAATAATTCTGAGAAAAATTGTATGATGATAATGATAACTGACCATTGATAAGAATTATAATACAATCATGATGGAAGTATAATAATTATAAGTAGAAAAAGGAAATCATAATGAAGGCGCTGTTAAGGCTACGTAAAGACGGTAAATGTCACATGTTACTTTAATATTAAGGGTTTAAAACTTAAGTTTTTGATACGATCTTTTTTCGATCCCATTTATCCAGCTATCTATATTATTTGGAAAGTTGATTCTTCTAAGTTAATGTGCCTACTGTTGATAAACTTTTCTTGCATTGTTATGAAGTCGTCATTCAATGGCTATTTCAGATAGTGTTCTGAGATACATTGGGAAAGTGTTTAATTTGTGAGGCTAATGTAACTTGACTCATAAAAGCAAGTAAACCCATAGATGTACATCGGTGTGACCTAACACACTTATATTAAGCTTACTGGAGAAGGAAATACGAAGCTTCATTGGGTATAAAGTTCTTCTCAAAGATTCAAGGATTCATTTTGTCGAGATTTGTACGGTAGGGTCCCCTCCAAAAAATCTTTTTCGAAATATGATTTCCTCAGAATCATCATGTCACAGTATATATATATATATGAAGGTATATATAAAAGGTAGACTGCGTTCATGAGTAAGGGTGATAAGGTGCAATATTTTCTTACGAAGGTGATTTAATAACATTTTTCTTGGAAGTTATAAGTATTGTCATTACATAATTATGATAGTTTCACATATGTAGAATAATAAGATCCAACACCTAGATTTTCAATTACCCTGATTGATATAGGTGTGGCTAAAAATTAAAAAAATCCTGATTTCAAACTCATCATCCATGTGGGCTTCAGGATCCTGAAGAAATAAACATGGTAGGCGCCTAAGTCATAATTGTTCACCATACGATTTTCTTTTATTTGTTTAGGAGATATAAGTTTTGCTTAACAGTTCATAGGGCTGTGAGATTTTCAAATTTACCTGTTTCAGTTTTGATACCGATCATAGTTCTAACGTAAACCATGCCTTTTGAACTAAAAAAAGAAGATTCTAATTCCTCTCACCTCATATACAAATTACTTCAAGGTAGAAATGTTATGAACGGCTATCTGAGTGGATGTGTTCTACAGATTCTTGGAAATCACAATCAGCTTATAGGTGATGTCAGCTTCCTATATAGTCACTAATTCAGTGCTACTTGGATTCTTCGTCCTATTTGAACTCAAAGGAAGTTGATTATTATCATCTTAGAACATCACATATGATCAAGAAAGGTCTTAGGTTCGATCCTAGGTCAGTTCATAGATGTTAACTACTGAAGAATTTCAAACCAAGGGAAACATAAGTCCAATACATCTTGGTGTGCTTTTTTTAAACTCAAATCTTGTCTTTTTTACACTAAGGTGGTTAATTTAGTCATCTTCAAGTATGGGCAAATATTTATCAGTAATGATTGTGAAGCATAAAAATATAGCGAATCAAATTAAAATTCATTACAGTTCACATGCTCTAAATCTTATGCATACAACATATCTTTTTTCATTTAATTAAACAAAATGTCGTTTCATAAAAGCTGTTTCATGAAAAGCACGTACAAATTAATCTAGTTACCTGATGAAAAAGATATTTATTCGAAAATTTGCTTTCATTATCATGTAAAATCGCACAGGGACAGAGTATGAAATAAACACTGTGATATAGACGATCAACTATAAAGAACATATGTGAACTGTTGTAGACAAAATGAATTTTCATCGTATTATACATGAGACAAATAGCATCCGCGGTAATCGATGATGGACACTCAGCATTGCGTATTGATTCAATTTGTACATGTAAATTATTAGATAATGACTGGGTGATCTAAACGTCAAGTGCTAGATGGTGGTTGAAGGTAGTCGACAGGAAACCCTGGACCGAAGTTTCGTGCTACTTGGCACCCGTCAGCGAGGTGTACCTGCAATATTGAAGGGACTGGTGTTCTCTGATGGATTCGATCCCGTGTCACCCAGCTTCACATTCGGAGAAGTTACCACTGAGCTTACAATGAGACTAAAAGGTCCTGGGTTCGATTCATATTCCCATACTAAAAAAATAAGCAGATGTTCAGTGCTTTTTAGTTTTCAATGCTTATTTAACTATGACTAGACCTTGATATTGTATAGAAATTCAACAATGAAAAGTCCCTATAATAACAAAATGAAGAAAATAACAGTAAATGCAAACTATAATATCAAATAATCAGTGACAATGACAATAATAATTTGATAAGGTTTTTATGAAGTTGAATTTTATCATGATGTGAAATCGGTTAAAATCCCCAATATAAATTAGGGATATTAGAATCGAATACTCCAACAGTACGAATCTTCAATCCTGTCCAAGATCATCTTCTAATCAGTAATATTTCGTATCAAGTGACGGTGAGACTATAGTTTATGGACGACCTTTAAACGAACCCTAAGCGACCTTAAGGAAGATTAGCCAATCAAAAAAAGCTAGTTTAGAGTAAAAGTATACTATAAAAAAATCAAAGAATTAGAGTGGAAACACTACTTTCACATGGTTCAAAATTTCACAAGGTTCGAAAGAGGTTATGAAATCGTAATACATACGGTAGAGGTAAAACACTTTGTGGCTTCATAATATTGGGCCTTTGGAAACTCATTCAACCTCGACCACATAGCTTCAATATTGTTTGTGTGCACTCCGGTGTTGAGTCCACAAAATGCCGCTTGTGGATAACGATATGATGCAGCTAACCAAGTCTATGTAGACATCTGTACGCTCTTCAATCCTCCGTATATATTGTAGTACCTGACTGCAGCCAGGGTTACTGGTGCCTTGGTTAACCAGTGCGCTACAATTGTCATAATTGACCTTAGTCTCAATTTGGAACGAGCGCAAAACCCTATTCCAGGAGAATACTCCCTCCGACACATATTACGTTGAAAGACATCATCACAGTAGTCTGTACAAGGTCCACAAGTTATTTGATTAACACAGCCACAAGAAAAGAATTTCTTAGTAGTCCCATTTGTTGTAGCTGCTCAATTATCACGTTTTCTCTAAAATCCTCTGTGAACCGATCGTATGTGAGCATCAGGCAATGGGATTGGTGTTGTGACCTTGAAGACCCTCAGACGCTTCTCATCGGCTCGTCCATACCTTATAGTCTCGCCTATTACTTTTCTATTCTAATAAGATTCCAAGCATGTATACCTTAATCTGTAATAAATAACTTTCGATTATCGTTAAGATCATATAAAAAAGCTTTAAAAATGTTTAAATTCACTAGATGCTGTTGTACTTGTATCTTCCGATTGATTAGCATCATGTTGGCATATGTGCATCCTGTGAGGATTGCTTCAATATAGCCAACATGAGACTGATCAATCGCAGTTCTAAATAACGATGGGAAGATGCAAGTAAAAACAATACCAAGTGAATTTAAACTTCATCCCATCGCACAAACAAGTGGCTATCTAGACTCAGTAGCTAAGCGGACAAAACACGATGAGGTTTGAAGCGAACGGCACTGGGTTTGAGTCCTAGAATGAACATCAAATGTGAGATGCAGGTATATCCGGCTGACAAGTCTTAAATAGGACGAGACGCGCATCAAACTGAATTCCTCTGCTAGCCACTATTCATTTTCGTTTAGACATGTTTGTTTCTAAATGAAATCCTTTCTAATGCCAATTGTATCATACCAAACCTTAAGCTTTAAAAATAAAGACATTTCAACAAAAGTTTATATTCATTTCTTTCTTTTGTTTTTGGTTTCTCAAGCAACAATAATATCATCACAATGTTTAACTCTGTTTTTTTCCCTATGACCTATTTATACATAGTCAGTCAGCTACAACGTAGAATCAGGCACATATACGCATCGGTCCAAGTTGCCATACCTCATTAACACAACAAGACGGACATCGGATTCATAAAAGTGGTTATGTATAAATACACACATGAATTATGATGATGTAAATAAAAAGAGAAAACAAAAAAGAGAACTATTTGTGAGAAAAAAAGTGTATTTGTACAAAAAAACTTAATCAAAAGTAATGATCATTGATTTTTTTTTACACTTTATATCGATTGGATGGTAAAATTGTCTGTTCTCTTTTTTTTGTAGTTTTTTGTATTTTCCCATTTTTGCTGTACAATATTTTATGAGGTAATTAACATTCAGCTTTCTTATTTATTATATTTATACAATTTAATTGATGAACTAAATGGTACATACAAAGAATCTTTTATTGTATGAAATGTAATTCAGAAATTTTGTGTATAGTTCTCAATGGTAAATGATGACATCATTTAAGACTGAGTTAGTTTTGTTACATCTTGGCTAAAATATAAACCAATATATATATAAGTAGTAAGCAAAATATGATACAAAATAATTCTAAAATAATAAATAATAATAAATTGTGAATTCATTAATTAGTGCTAATCAACATATGCTCACTAGTGATTGGCTTCAAGAGGTATATCCTGAAGTTTTAGTGAGAAGCAGTGACCAGTGGAGTTCAACCAGGTCTGTTGTGAGATTATAACTCGTTGAAGACAATGACGGATGTGTCGCTCAAATTCGTGGAATAGTTGAAGTTAGACATTAACACCATTGGATGCTGTCTGGTTCAGTGGTTTAGAGGTTAAACGCTCGCGTGCGAGACCGACAGGTTTTGTATTTTAATCTCATGAGGCAGGGTCGTGGATGCGCATTGTTAAGGAGTCCCATAATAGGACGAAACGGCCATCTGGTGTTTTTAGATTTTCCATGGTGGTCTTACTTCAATTGAATAATTATCTCAACTATTGAGATTCATTAATACGCTTCTAATTGTTTTGATGCGAAATGACGATTAGCATGTTAGTATGAAGGTTGTGAAGACTGTTGAATGTTACTAGGACAACTTACAAAGCATGTACATTGGGAGAACCGAGAGAAGAGTACATGTTCGCATTTCTGAGCATGTTCCAAAGAAATTGAGACTGCGAGGGACAAGAGCTCTCAACAGTGCAATAGCTCGGCATTTACTTGACACTGGGCATACCATTGAAATCCCTCATGTTTTTAAAATTATTAGCAGACAAGGAAATACTGCTTCTCTCCGTTTTGCTGGAGCGATCGCGATAAAAATCTCAAACCGGATCTATGTATTCAAAAAGAGACAGTAATAAACCTATTACTACCGTGGTAATTCGATTTTCTGGTCATTAGTTTTATTTTGTTAATATTTACTTTGTGCTATATTTGTCTTTCATTACCGCATTCTTAAACCACCCCTTCACTCATACATTCCCACTCACTTGTTTCTCTTAACTCATATGAACTCTTCAAATTCTATTCAATTATTACGTAACCCATCGTATCACTTTTCTTTAATTCCATGAATCCTTCATTACCTCCAAAATTATCAATATCTGTGAACTCCACTCAACTATTACATCACCCATCTTTAATGTTTCCTTAATTCTAATACCAAATAACTTCTGACCTGTGCTTGCATATATATTTAGTTATCTTTTATAACCTTTGTCATTCCAATCCATTACATTCACTTCTGTCAATTGTTCCACACTATATCTTGCCTCAATGTAAAATTCTAATACACATTTATTGATATCATGAACCGCTTGATGTTAGAACACCATCGAAAACTTGGAAACACTGGACAGCCTTTTCGTTCTATTTTTAGATACCTCAGCAACGCATATTGACGATCCCGCTCGCGGTATTCAAACCTAGGGCTTTTAATCTCGTGCGCGAAAATTTAATCTACTACACCAATAAGTCACACATCCAGCGGTATAATGAATTCATATTATTCTTTATCTATATTCATTCTAACTTGATTTACATTCATTAAGGGAATTCATTACATAAAACTTACTTTTCATTTAAATCAATTAATGTTTCATCAATAATCGATTTATTGAATTGACATGTCATAGATGTTAATTTCATTAATTTAATGATAGATTTTAATTGATTTCTTATATCATTAAATGATAATAAAGAATATCTACAATGAATAATTAATTCATCTAATTTACATAATGGTAACCAATAACGTATAAATTGACATATATAATGAATATATAAATGTTTTGATAAATTCATTGGTTGATTAATAAGTTGATCTAATAATTGTAAACATTCATTATTGGAATGTGTAATTGATTGTGTCATTGGATTGTAATTGATCATTTGAATTGTATTACCATTATAATTATAATGATTATTATTGGATGATTGTTTCAATATTGGTAATGTTTGATATTTATATTTATCATCAATAGTATGTGAGGGTTGTTGTTGTTGTGGTGGTGGTGTTTGCTGCTGCTGTTGTTGTTGTTGCAAAAGATTATGTACAATAGAAGTTGGATATGGATATGATGTATTCAAACTAGACAATTCATCTGTTGATATATTGTTTAAGTTAATATTTTGATAACAATGATTATCATAATATTGATTATGATCATGATTTTTATTGATTATTTGAATCATATCAATAAATTTGTGTTTATTTTCTAACATTAAATAAGCTATCATTAATTCAATGATTAATTGACTAAATGATAATCTATTACTTAAATAACAATTAGTTGTTAGTAGTGTAGTTGTTGATAGTATAATATTTGTTGATTGATTTAAGTTTTCTATTTCATTATCTACACATTTGTAATATGAATTATTATTATTAGTAGTAGTATTAGTAGTATCAGTAGTAGTGGCAGTAGTATTTTCAATTAAAGATTTTGTATTGTTAATGATTATTTGATAAATTTCATAAAGATTATTATCAATACAATTGAATGGTTTTTGTATATTATATGAATGATTCATTAATAATGATTGATGAATATTGCATTTATCTAATCTCTTAGGATCTTCACTGATTGTTGAATGAATACAATCATTGGTAAATTCATTATTTAGCTACAAAAGAAAATGATAAATGAAGTACAAGTTTCATGCATCAGTATGATATCGGGGTGAATAAACACAAAAAGAAACATAATTATCAGTATACGGTTGTAGAGATTATAAAGTGGATCATGGATGAACACATCTGAGGATTCCCACAACAGCCGACCAGTGCTTCCAGGTTTTTCAATGGTGGTCTAACATCAATCGGTTCATGATCGCAATAAAAAACCTTAATAATCTCCACAACCGTATACTGATAACTACCGTGTGCTTTGTGAGGGAAGCCGTGACCAGTGGAGCTAATCCGTGTCGGGAAGAGACAGTTATGTGCTACGGTACAATGAAAGGTGATCGCACAATTTCGTCGACTGGTTGAGGTTAGACATTAACACCGCTAGTTGCCGGTTCAGTGGCCTAGTAGGTTAAGCGTTCGCGTGCGAAGCTGAAGGCCCTGGGTTCAAAACAAGCGAAACGGGATCGTGGACGCGCACTGCTGAAGAGTCTCACAATAGAATAGAACGGCCGTCCAGTACTTCCAGGTTTTTAATGGTGATTCAACATCAATCCATTCATGATCTTAATAAAAAAACATAACTCAAAACTGAAATGATATATGTATTTGTGTTCTCCATGTTCTTCACATTCAAGACTGTTTTCAGATAATTTATATTATTTATTGAATATCAACCTCGTGAATATGGCAACAAGTAGATTAAAATTTTGATAATCATTGCATATGAAATATATTAGCCTGACGGATAATGCACTAAAGGCTGAAGTAGGATATACTGAATTCTTATGTCAATAAAACACTTAAACTAGAATAAGGGTAAATACAGCTAAGAAATTCAGTAGTAAGAGTAACGCTACTCTCAGGTTTCGTTGATATCCAGTATACAAAACATAATTCAATATGAAATTCTACATTTTAATGTCTGTTTTGCGAATGGAGTTATGATTAATGACTGAAGTCATATTGATTTGATTTTTTAACTTGTGATCGAATTCTACTGACCAAGTTGTGATGTGACCACTATTCTAAGTGACTTGTCATCGGTGCGCTATATCGAGATGCTGGAGATAGTGAAAGCAGGAAACTCGGGATCCAGGTTTCGTGTTAGTTGGCATTTACTAGTAAGACATACCTGTAATTTTCATAAGACTAATGAACCCTGTAAACTTTGAAACTTCTGCCAACACTAGGGACTAGCTCAATATGACATCTATGATTGATCAGTGATATATCTCTAAGTGATAATGTCTCAAATTGTAAAACTAATTGGTCATTGTCCGAATTACTCAGGAAATATCAGTTTCGTCAAGATTGCAAGTATGCTTTGGTGACGAATATCTGCCAACACAGAACCTAGATTCAGGGTTTTCTGTCAACAACTTCTAACCATCTAACAGATGTATTATTTATCACCTATTTGGGAATGTAAAAGATAACTTATTTGCTAGGTTGTTGTAGCAGTCTTGAAAGTTGTAAGTACTAAATGTTGTCTTTTACAACTTGAAATGTGTTCGTTACTAATCCGACCAAAGCTTAAAACGGAAAAAAACTTGTGATTTCTAATGATCATTTATCCGAGATTAATTTATAATGGTCAAGTAAAAAGATAGATAATGACGAATTCAAGTTCAGCAATAGCCAATCAAGATGGCAATCAACAGGACAAGCTGTGTATGGAGAAATTCGAACACTTCATTTCAACCTTAATTTTATTCTGATTGTTGTTCGGAAGAACAATGAAAACTTCACGATCAAACCATCCCATTCAGAAAGCGAAACTCCATCTAGAGAAGAACTAAGCACTAAACAACCGAAACATCAATTGATACTCATTAATCAAACGTTGTAAGTATGCGGTCCATTCAAATGAACTTATGTGATGTTAGTCAATAGTTATACAGTTTATTGAAATAACAACTGAAATACAATTATTTCATTCTGGTTAGGTTATATCTACATTAGACCAACTTCTGAGGAGCTTACACAAATTGTAAATATCATATATATTTCACTGAATTTTCTCAAAATTTCAGTTTAAGATCCCATAACCTATAATAATATGGGTTAGTTTTTAGTTTTAAAGACTGACAGATTTCAAGGAATTTATTTACAATCCATAACTGAATAAAAGACCAGTCGGATGTAAGACAAATATCACACGTGAAATGCATAACAGTTATGTAATATCGTGATATTAAACATGTAAACCATTGGATGACGAATCAGTGATCTTAAATATCCCCATTTCAATTCCTTGTGGAGTTGTGGTTGTTCACCACTGTAGAATATCGTACTAGATGGAACAAAGTGGCCGTTTAATATTCTCTGGTTTTTAATACATGTCTAATAATAATGATCAGTACATAATGTAAACATTTTCATAAAAAATACCAAATATTTCGCATCATTTTATTGTTAAATTACTGATTCAAAAATAAAATCACATTTTTTGTAATAGTGAATAAAAAACACAAAATAAATCTCTTTTTTAATAGTTGAGATCATGAGTCAATTGAACCTAGACCATCATGGAAAACCTGAAAGCACTAGGCGGCCGTTTCGTCTTATTGTGGGACTCCTCGGCAGTGCACATCTATGATCCCGCCTCACGAGATTCGAATACAAGACCTATCAGTCTTGCGCGAAGACTCTTAACCTCTAAACCACTGAGCCAACCAGCATCCAATGGTGTTAATGTCTAACTTCATCTAATCCACGAATTTGAGCGACACATTCGTCATTGTCTTTCATGAGTTACTATCTTACAACAGAACCGATTGAACTCCATTGTTCTCAACTATTAAATTACTGTAATATACGCAAAACTCCTTCTGATATAAATACGTTTACTTACTAATAACGGTTGAAAGAAACCATCATTGAATTTGGTATTGTCAGTTGTAGTGTATTGTTTATTAGAGCATACTAATGAATTAAATTGAATTTTTAATTTACAATTAAAACAATCATCCAGGAATACAGATTTACTTGTAAAATTCTAAAAGAAAAAAACAATTAAATATAAGATAGACAACAGCAAAAAAAACGTTACTTAAAAGATAAATTATAGAATGTTGACAGGTTGTTAGTCTTTTTGACAATGTGAACATTTTACCATCTATGAATGATACTGTGATGTGTGCTATTTATGTTGAATTAAGTAGTATATAACACTAGTCAGGAATAAAATGTCTAGTAGCAGAAGATGGCGAGACTCTATTTTATGGACGACATTTGAAGGAATCTTAAGTGACCTTGGCAAATATTGGCCAATCAGAAAACAGTCAGTATAGAGTAAATATATGTTATACAAAACGAAGGAAATAGAGTAAATATACTTCTTATACGTGATTCAAAAACTTGTCAAGGTTAGAAAGAGGTTCAGAGGTTCTAAAATCATAATGCATGCAGTAGAGGAATTCATCCATACGGCTACAGGATAGTCGGCCTATGGAGCCATGATAAAGTCTCAAAAACTCTTTCAGCCTCGACCATATAGCTTCAGTATTTTTTATGTGCACTCCGGTTGTTGAGTGCACAAAATGATACCTGTGGATAATGTCATGATGCACATAACCAAGACAATGTAGGAGTATGTACTCTCTCCAAACATCCATATACATTGTAGTTCCTGGCTCCAGCCAGTGTTATTGGTGCTTTTATTATCCAGTTCGCAATAATTGTCATAATTTGCCTTAGTTAGGAATTATATATGGGGTTTTCATCACGAACTGACATCAGCTATAATGCCAGAAATTTATTTGGCCAAATGGATGAAAGGCTTTCGCGTTAAAATCCGAGATCTATTATATTTTACCTGATTGATTCGTCCACAAATTATAGTCCCGCCGTTTTATTTATTATAGCCTCTTAATTATCACATTTTGTACAAAATTCCCTGTGAACAGATCGTACGTTAGCATTAAGCACTGAAGTTGGCGCTGTAACCTTGAAATCTCTAAAACGTTTCTGACTGGCTCGTCCATAAATTAGAGTCTCGCCTCAGAAGATTAAGAAAATCAAGAAGGAAAGAATAAGAACAGAAAACAATTGATATGAAAATGCAATGAACAACGAAAACTGAGATAATTAAATAAACATTTTATAATTGAAGTATTGGAGTATGGTTTTTTTCTATTTTACCAAGTAACTTTGTAATCATCAATCGTCCTCAATCGTATTCTCTTTCATTACAGTATATTAAATCAATATTCAAATTGAAACATTGAACTGACAAAAGAAATAAAGGGCTATAATTCTTTGTAGTATATTGTAAATTGTATTGTCAGTAGTTTATGTTGGTTTGGTTACTATTGTATATATTGTAAGAGACATTGTAAGGAAAAGAGTATTACTTACTAGGTAAACTTGTTCCACAGTATTAAATATAAATTTTGACAGTATACTTAATAGAACTTGACGATTTCGTGGTGAGACTATAATTTACGGACGAAATTTGAGTGACGCTAAAGTGACGTTGAAGATGTCCACTTACTAACTTGGAGTAAATGTGAGTTTTAAAGCAGTGTTAAGAATTAGAATTATGATTTACAGTTGATGGTTAGGGTTAGAAATTAGATTTAGGGTTTTCATCATGAATCAACATAAGCTTAAATGCCAAAATACTATTTAGCCGAGTGGATGAATGAATTTCGCGCCAAAATCCAAGACTTTTTATCCTAAATTTGATTGATTTATCCATAAATTGTACTGTCGCCGATTGTTTCGCATCACATTATTTTTTCATGAATATGACAGTAATACCATTTAAAGCATAAAACTATTGCTCGACAGTGAGTACACTTAAAAGGATTACTTAGATTTACGATCTTACATAACAAGATGCAAGTCTCACGTAGATACTGTAATGAATTATTCACCACGTCAGGATGATATATGTTAATCCAACCACCTAATAAGCGTGCACGATATCTAAGGATTATTATCTACTAGATCCTAGTAAACATATAAAGCAGGTCACATACATTTGAGTTTTTGCTCACATTTAGTTTGGTTAAACTCTTTTATTAACTTATTTGACAAACAGTCATTCGTACAACAACCATTAATGTATATCATTATAATTGTTGCACTTGTATGAACATGTATGCTTGAGCATTGCTTATATATATATATATATATATATATGATTAGTTTATGTAAATAATTAGTTGTAAAGTACATATGTAATCAAGTAATAAGTTGCAGACTAGATCAGAAATATACACGTTCATACGCATAACAATGAATCTTCAAATTCGGTGAGGTAGGTACCAACCTAAGAAGATCAAAGATTGTGACACATTATAATGAAATGAATGAAGTTGCAAAACAGGTATACAAACGGGTCCCAGTCCAGTGGTCTAGAGGTCAAGTGTTTGTATATTTGACCCTGAGTTCAGTCCTTATTAATAATGTTGTGGATGCAGACTGCGCATGATTCTCATGCTGGAATGGAACCGCTGTTCGTTACTTCCAGTTTTTCTATGATTGTCCAACATATTTCAGGTTGTAAACTCAATAACATTCAGTCATCTTCTTAATACTCATATTGATGAAAATATTTAAAAATTTAAGAAGTTTTAATATGGATGAAATAGATGTTAACATTTCGATCATCAATATTATATTCAGTTAAAAATTAATGAATCTCTTTCTTTATACCTGAGATTATTATATCGACAGTCGCTAATACCAAGTGAATTAAAAACTTCACTCCATTGTACAATTAAGTGACTATCAGAAATCAGTAGCTAAATAGATAACGTGATAGCGTTTAAAGCGAACGTTAACTGGGTTCGAGTTCTGGAATGAACATCAACTCTGTAGATGCAGGTACATCCAGTTGACGAGTCTCAAATAGAACGAAATGCATTTCATAGACTTCACTGTTAACCATCATCCATCTTTGCTTATGAGGTTCATGATTTAAGACAATATTGAGTCAATCCGTATAAGATGTACATATGATAACAAGTGACTGATCAATAGCAATCCTTAACAACAATAAGAAGATACAATCAAACAATGCTAAGTGAATATGAATGTATTTTCTTAAAATGTTGTTAGTATTCGGCAATATAAAACATCAGTTGGCTATAGGTTTCAGGTTAAAATTTTTAAAAAAAACACACACTCAAATGTTATAAACAATAATTTACTTCAATTGTAAATGAATTCAATGTAAGATATTCTAATCCAGATAATATTTGTAAAAGCATTTTAATGGCTTGATATAAATTGAATGAAACGGTATGATTATTATTGTCTAATGTAATTGATTGAGTTCCTTGTAAAAGCTGAAAAGAAATAAAATAAAATATTTACAGATTATATTTATTGTTTTTAGTAAATGGGATACTCCCCATCTCCACCCACTTGAGACATTAAATAATGAAGATTAATCATTGATCGAAGAGTTCATGTGATTATATTTGTTGAACTATCTTTTCCCAATGATAATTTTCCTATTTAAGCCCTTAAAAATTAAACTATTATTACTTTCAGAAGGGGTTTTGTGGAGATTGTAGTAATTTTAGTAGTTGAGATGATGAGTCAATTGGAGCTAGACCATCATGGAAACCAACTAGTTGTGAGGTAGTAACTCACTGATGACAATGGTGGATGTGTTTTGCTCAATTTCGTGGATTAGTTGAAGTTAGACATTAACACAATTGGATGCTGGCCAGCTCATTGGTCTAGTGGTTAAGCGTTTGCGCGCGCGAGACTGATAGGTTCTGGGTTCGGATCTCGTGAGGCGGGATCGTGGATGCGCATTGCTAAGTAGTCCCATAATAGAACGAAACGGCCATCCAGTTCTTCCATGTTTTCTATGGTGGTCGAGTTTCAACTGACTCATGATCTCAACTGTTGATATTATTAGTTTCCTTTTTTGAAAAGAAATTTTTTTTCCTGTGAATACCTTTGCTTATCCTACCTCACTGTTACCATGTCTAACAGAAGTTTATTATCATAGTTATTTTAATTATAATCTTGAATAATTAGTATGTGTTTGGGATTATCTAGCTTTGAATATGAATTCGCCCAAAACAGCATTCTTCGCTGAACCAACCTTTCTTATTTATATTATTGTTCATTATTCTATATCATAATTGTTATTTACAAGTGTTACATTGATTGTGGAAAGAGAAAACTTATTTATCATTCAAGAATCTTATTTTCTTTAATCATATTTATATATAGTTGCTATCTGGATTCATTAGTTCAATGGACCACTCTTTAGTACTTTGAACGAAAGGTACTGGGTTCAAATCTCAATACGAACATCAATATTAGGTTAAAGGTGAATCTAGGTGATGTATTTCATACAGAACAAAACATGTGTTATGCATTCTGTCACTAGCTACAACGTAACCTTAATAAAGCTTACAATTATAGACTACAGTTAATGACTGGAGTATTTCACTTACTAACTATTTTGAATGACTTCATAATTAGAGGCTCTACAGATATAAATCCATAATTATTGTATAACAGTACAGAAAATAAGACAGTTTATCTGAATAAGTAAGCCAACCAATATTTTAATCGTTAAAATCGTGAACGTTTACATAAGTTATAGCTTAGATAAATCCAAAATGCGTTACTTGTACATTTGAATATGTATTATCCTATTTCATATAGGATATTATGAATATGACATTAAAATAGAAGAAGCTTTTCCAGTTTTATATTAAATTCAGGACAATCGACGTGAATTAGCAAGATTATATCTGTTTTACGTAGTTGAAACCATTAGGATAAACTCCAGAAAAAGTAACTTGCATATCCAAAGAGGTAAATTTAACTTCCCAGTGTACCCCAAAGTGACTGAGTTACACGATACATAAGACATTTAGAATAAACGTTTACACCCTAAACATCTTTATGTTTATCTCTGTTATGCTTCATTCTTGATCATCTGCATATACAGCTTTCCCTATTTATTGTCAGTATTTACTTATGAAAATTGTTGAATTTCATTGATGTACTAGATTGAAGGTCAGTCCAGTGTTTTCAGGTTCTCATTGATTACCTAACTATGATTGGGTCGTGATTTCAATAAAATTCACCAATATCCATAGCCCCATACTGACATTTATCATGTATTCGTTAATGACCAGCTTAAGGAGAAATTTCATGAATTCTAGTGGGGAATAGAAACCAATCGAGCCAAACCGTGTCAGGTTGATGATGAAAGTTGGTCGCCATTTTCTTAGACTAATTGAGGTTAGAGATTAACATCGTCGAATGTCGGCTCGGTGGTCTAGAGATTAAATGTTATGTTCAAGACCGAAGATACTCGTTTCGATTGTCGCTTAAGGGGTCATGGATGTGTACTGCTGATGAACCTCACACTGGAACGAAACACCTGCCCAGTCCCGTTAGGTCTTCATTAGTTATCGAGCTAGGATTGTTTATTGTTTCAATGAATTTCCTTTTCACATGAACTTTTTGTTATTATCATACCACTGAAAAAATATTTGTTAGGTTTTGCCTTTTGACAGCTTATCAATGTCAAATACTAAATTTTGTAATCTAAGCTCTTACAATAATTTTGTTTATTACTCGTCTACTATCTCTTCTGTAACATAGTGTCCTAGACTTGACCTATTAAACGTCTTTTTTGCACCATTAACCTTGAGGTTATGTAAGATGAGTTCCCATTGTTCTCCTCTCTGTATGGCGTTCATGTGAGCATTTTCCGTTACATTAGCAGTTTACTTTTCAGATCTAAGTACCGGCGATATGATTCCATAAGGCGAGTTGCCTTGTATTACTCTGAAATTCGGCACTTTTTATGCCTTCGTTTCGTTGTGGTAAGGAGGCATCCCTATGACTGCTATTTATGTGTACTAAATATCTTACTGGCATCACGTCACAGTACAGTCAGCAATATGGATTCATTCTCATTCATTAGATTTAACACTTTTTGTTATATTGCTGACCTAACTGGCTTGGTGGAACAGCAACAGCTAATCTATTTCAAACAGGCTATCTTAAACATAATTGTTCAGTATAATACGTAGTATGCGTTTTCCAGTAATTGTTAATAAAATTCATCTTTATATTTTCTTAATTTCATTTATATGTGATATTCATTGTTTAATCATCAAACACCAATCACATCTCTATATTAATAACTGTATCTGGTTGAAATGTTATAGATTTGTAATTTAATAGTTAAATTCATGGGTTAATTGAAGCTAGACCACCATGGAAAACATGGAAGCAATGGATGGATGTTTCATCCTATTATGGGACTCCTCAGCAGTGCTCATCCACGATCCCGCCTCGCAAGATCCGAACCCAGGACTTATCGGTCTCGCGCGCGCAAACGCTTGATCACTAGACCAATGAGCTGGCCAGCATCCAATTGTGTTAATGTCTAACTTCAACCAATCTACAAAATTGAGCAACACATCCACCATTGTCTTCCATGAGTTGCCATCTCGCAACAGACCTGGTTGAACTCCACTGGTTACGGCTTCTCACTAGAACTCCGGGAAATATCTCTTGTAAACAGAGTGGGATTTTATGGACATTGTATTTATTTCTATCTTCTTCCTTGCATCTGTTGGAAACGTTAGATCTCCGGAACTCACCTAATTTTATAATTTTATTTAGAAAATTTCTTTGTTTTCGCAAAAAAAGCGCTCTTTTCACTTTCATGTCGTATTTTCCACTTGGGAGAATCTAAAACGCTATTAGTCCGTTGTGTTTTTTAGTATACCATTTTGTAACGCTTCCTAAGAACAGTTTTGTGCTGTATATATGCGTTTTGATTTGTGTCGGTTGTTGTCGCTGGTGCTTATGGCTTTCTGTGGGAATATACTTCCCCGTTCAAACTTCGACTTCTGTTTCTAGTTAGCGGGGCTGGGACGCAATAGAATAGCTAGTTTATTGATCTTTAATCACAAGTCATTGTTTCGTTCGCAGACTAAGTGAACTCGTAACTGCTTCAAATCTAGCAGCATCATATAAATCTTAGTGTTTACCTCTCCTAAGTATTGATTTCCTCATAGTGATTACATCATTAATCATAACTTTAATGTAGATCATTCATCAAACACAAAATGCATATTACAACTAATAATAATCAGAATGGGTATTGTGGAGATTTTAGAAATTTCACTGGTTGAAATCACGATTCAATTGAAGCTAGAACACCATGGAAAACCTGGAAGCACTGGACAGCAGTTTCGTCCTAGCATGGGACTCCTCAGCAGTGCGCATCTCAGACCCCGCCCCCCGCGAGATTCGAACCCAGGACCTATCAGTCTCGCGCCAGACGCTTAACCAACTAGACCACTGACCCGACATCGAACAATAATACTAATAATAATAATAACTTACATTTTTCAAATACATATCCAATGATCCATTGATACAGTACTCTGTAATTATTGAATATGAAGAATATTTCATTGATCTATCTATTATACTTAAACCATAAAATTTGACAATATTCACATGATTTAACTGTGTATAATTGATAATAAATTTCATTAAATTTTCATTGGATAATAAGAATTTTTTAATTTTAGATCGTAATCTAATGGATGATAATGATGATGATGATGCTGATGATGATGATGCCCATGATGATAATTTACTTCTTGGATTATTCCATATACAATTCAATGATACTTTATATAATGAATTCTTATAATGATGAAATTGTTGATTACATAATAGATTCAAATGTGATAAATCTTGTATAAAGATATAAATAGAATTAGTATTATTTGGATTAGAATTGGTGAATGATGTAATCAGTTTGTTGTGATGTAATTCAGTTAAATTATTCATCATTAATAAATTATCATTATTATTATTATCATTATGAAATGTTTGAATAGTTTGATCCCATTGATTTTCTATAATATTTGAGATCAAATTATTATTGATTTTATTATTAATTTTATTAGAATTATCAATTTGATAAAAATTCTTCAATGGATATATTACATCAGAATGACGAGAATTGAATAGACTTGATATTATCATTGAAGGTGTTGATAAATGATAATTGAATAATTTAGCCAAATAAGTTGAACCACATCTATCTTACAAAAAGAAAATAAGAAAATAAGTTGATTATGATCGAAGTAAACAAATATACACTTTGATTATCTAGATAGAACGATGATTGGTGCAGAATAATATGAATTGATTTCATTTCGTTAGGTTCTCATCAGCTGCTTACAACCTAAATGATTTCATAATCAACATTATTACAGATATTGACATACTTATAAATACGATAGTGATTAGAGATGAGTATATATATCATGACGTAGGGAAGATTCCGATAGAATTCAGTAAGATCATAAAAATCTTGTTTTAAATAAATAAAGTTTGTGAGGGAAAGTTCCAGAACATTGAAACAGTGATTAGAACTCATAGAATTAAGAACACATTAGATGATTATGCAATGAAGCAATTGAAAATAGATTAATTGTAATAAAGAAAGATATCAATGGAAATCATTAAGTTATGAATGATGTAGTTTTAAACTTCAGGAAGAGTTGGAATAATGAATGACGTAATAAAGAAAATACAAATAAAAAGGGGTTTAATGTTACCAAGACAAAGAAAGATTTATTACTATCTCTTTTTGTATACATTGATCTGGCTTTAGACGCTTGATTGCTATCACTTTGGCAAATTTCAAAAGCTTGGAGTTCGATTGTTTATTAATCACCTTGAAGGACTTCAGTGTATCGACTTCGTGTCCTTTGTTAAGATGTCTTGCGATGGCACTTCTGAATGCTTTAAATCCATTTGATTTAAACTTTTCGTAATATGTTCTTTGAATCGGACATAGGTCTCCATTTTGTTCTATCAATGTAACTGTTTAGGCAGATACATGTAAATATGTATACACGATTGGTGATAAACATGTAAGGGGTACCTATCGACCTTTGATTGTGTTAAAAAACATGTTGTTTTGGACAGGACAATTAGTTTCGCTGCAGCAAAAGTTCTTGTCAATGCAGTTTTTACTCTCATATTGATTGACCCTGTGACATTATCATCTTGAATTTGACTTGAATAAAAATAGGTTTTTTAATTGCTGTATTTTCTTTGGTTTTTTTAATCTTCATGTTTCCCATATTTCTCAATAATTTTCAGTGGGTATCCGTTATTCCTTAAAAAACACTTTTTAACATTTATAACTTCCTTTTCTAGTGTATCGGCAGTACATGTTCTTTTTGTTCTGTGAAAATCTTGAGATCTTTGCTACATCATCATATATATACTCATCTCTAATCACCATCGTATTTATAAGTATGTCAATATCTGTATTAATGTTGATTTTCAAATCATTTAGGTTGTAAGCAGCTGATGACAACCCAACGAAATGAAATCAATTCATATTATTCTGCACTAATCTTCGTTCTTGTTCCCTTTAAGATAATAAAGGTAACTATGTGTATGAAAGATCTAGAAAGGTTATATAGGGAAAAATTAATGGGTTCAATAGAATCCAAGTCGTTCAGTTATTTACAAATGCCATTAGGAAAGAAGTAGTTGATCGTTTAAATATGAATTGGGTTGTTATAATAATAATAATAATAATAATAATAATAATAATAATAATATGAGTCTAAACCGATTATTTCAATGTTACCTTCTTCCATTGTTGCACTGATTTATGGGAGTCTGGATCTTGAGAGTAATATTAATTTCACTCAAACTAACTTGCTGGACGACTAGATATAGACCTTTTTTGTCGATTGATTACAATCACATATCATTAAGAGGTTTCTAATCCTGTGAACTGAATAACAGCTCCGCGATTTAACTACCTTAGACTTTTAATCATTATATTTGAATTCACTTGAACTCTAGGTAATTGTGTAGACTAAATGAAATAGCCATCTAATTCTTCCTGGTTGTGAAGTGATGTCTGACCTAGGTACATCAGTGATATAAATAATATTTAACGATTTCCAAAACATTGGTGTTTATAACTACTATGTTAGTGACAAGTTGCAAGAGGTAATTTGGGAAATATATTGGGAAGATGTGACCAGAAAAGTTTAACATTGTCTGGTGTGAGACATTTCTCTACTGAAGACGATGGAAGATAGTTGAACAATGTCGCGGATTGGCTGAAGTTGGAAATGTATATCGACGGTTCCTGGCTCTGTGATATAGAGGTTAAGCACCAGTATTCAACACTGAAGGTTTTGGACTTGATTCTCTGAAGTGGTGTGTTGGATTCAGACTCCTGAGAATAATAATTTTTGGATAATTCTTTCTGGCTAGCCTTTTTTATTGAGTTAGTTTTCTACGGGATAGATTCGCTAACGCCATGCCCAACCCTCCTCGTTTATCCGGGTTTTGAACCGGTAGTAGCCCCAGAGAGGCTCCAGGTTGAGTTGGACTCCTGATAAGTCCCTTATTAAAACTAAGCAGGTGTTCGGTGTTTCCATGTTTCTAATAATTATTTAATTTATATCGGTTCCTAATATTAAGAAAATTATACGTACTTCTAAGTTGTATTTAAAGATCTGTTCCAATTTGCGGATAACTTTAACCAAAACCTGGTTTGTGGTGATAAAAAAGTAGAGATCTGAAAGCCTTAGACGAATATGTCTTCAGGATGTGCCATATTTTCTAGCTGTGAATGTTCGCAACTCCACACGAGCATCAAAAATGAGGTATACAGATACCGTAGTGAGAATTATACCGTTTGCTTCTTAGTTGAAATTCTATGGTTGACATCCTCCCACCATAAATGGTTCGTTGATATTATGCAGCGTCGACAGCTTAATCTCTCACCTCTGACATGACGTCCTCCCGGTTCTTTACTCTACATGATAGTAAATTCGTACTACTACTGTGTTCCAAACAGTTATGTTATGCTCCCTATTACTTCATGGATTACATGCTGTTAGGATGAGGCAAATAATTAAAAACATGAAATTATGCAAGCCATTTTCGGCTAAATTAGTATGTACATTTGCTTGATGTGCATTTATTAAACAGTTATTTTGCAGTATTTACCAAAAGGATCCGTTGCTACATGGTTTTAGTAATTGTTAGTTTATTCCTTTAACCTTAACATTTCTACTGATCAATATTTCCTCACTGACGATTACTGTCATTGGATTAATTGCTTTCACTTTACGCTTTTCCGTTCTAAATGTTCAAGAGTCATGTTAGTCACCACATATACATAGTTATTCTACTTTGAATTTATCATCTTGAATATTTGGATTTCCCCTAATTTTCCAACTTCTATCTGTCTTCTTATGTTTTGAGGAATATCGTTGAAGTGTTTCTGTCGTTCGTGTAATCATTCGAGTGGATCCGATTCTATATTAGAAAAGTCTAATCGTTCTAAATACAAATTGTCGTAGGCAGCTGACTTCAATGAAAGATAATTCGAGATATTTAATTGACTTTCTTGGTATTCCAATTAGTGATTGAAAATGATTGTGAATATTAAGTGAGATATTGATCATTAGAATAAATAGTAACTGTGTTATCCGACTTATTCGTAATGTTCATTGTTGATACGGCTTCCGTGAATTACAACGGAGCCTACAAAGGCCCTAGAAGAACCGAACAGTTTCTATACAATCAGAACATTATGAGGTTTTTCTAGAATATCAACGTGACGATTGGACAGTAGCATAAATTGCCTCCTTGTGGATTGACTGAATTATAATGATGTTATAACAAACTTTAATATCTATAAATACCCATGATTTTCTCTACATTTTGATTCTCCAGCTTTCTTCAGTCTTCTGACTTTGAGGGTTGCAAGGTTCTATACGTTCAAATGTCGTAGTTGTCTACCGTATTCCGTGTTAACCAAGTAAGGAACATAACATTCATGGTCAAAATCATAACACTAGCTAATCGATACAATGTTGATAGTTGTTACCCTGAAATTGTTAAGTTCGCTACTTAATTAACGCAGAATATGGTTTACAACTACGACACTCGGACGTTGAACTTCACCGTCGCAAATCAGAAAATAGAAGAAAAGCTGGAGAAGTGTTTATTTAGTAAGAATCAAAGTGTACAGAAAATCGTGGGTATTTATAGATATTAGCATTTGTTAAATTAACATTATATTTTGGCCCATCCGCTAAGAGACTTTTTATGCCACTGACTAATAGTAGCATGCCTTGTTGATATTCTACAAAGTTCCATTACGTTCTGATTGGCTGGAACTCTTCAGCATTTTAGGGCCTCTGGAAGCTCTGTTGTAGTTCTTGGAAGCCGACTCAACAGAAATAAATAACAAGAAAAGATATACTACAACTTGTTGACTTACTTTCGCCTAATCGACTAATAATTTTAATTTGATGATATGGAATTATATTTACTGGTATATTGTCAATAAGTAGGACAGATTTCATATTATTTTTATTCTTTTCAGTTTTAAGTAATTTGGACAGAAAATCTGAAATATAAGTAGTATAAAGTGTATGTTATAGAGAGAGGGAAAACTTGATTATTATTATTATTACTATGGACAATATGAGCAGAAAATAGATTAAGACCGGTTAAGAAATAAGGAAGAATATTACTTATACATAACATAACTGAGCAAATGTAATGTATTGTACTGTACAACAGTCGTATTATTCATGATGAATTATGTAAGTATGTCATAATATTGTTTCTAAGGTATGTAATCCTTACTAATCAAATTGACGAGTTATGTGCTTATGGTTTTCTTGAACTTGTTAGATAGAAAAGAAAAAAAAAGCTTGTATTTGCATTGACATTTATATTGAGAATAGTATCAAGTAATTATTTCATTTTGATTAAGATCATGAACCGATTGATGTTAGACCACCAGTGAAAACCCGAAACCACTGGACAACTGTTTCATCTTATTGTGGGACTCCTCAACAGTGCGAATCTACGATACCGCTCACGAGATTCAAACCCAGGGCCTTCGGTCTCGCGCGCGAACGCTCAACCTACTGGACCACTAAGCCGGCATCCAATGGTGACAGTGTCCAACCTCAACCAATCCACGAAATTGCGCGACCATCTTCCATTGTACTGAGGTAAATACCTGTCTCTACCCAACACGGATTATCTCCAGTGGTCACGGCTTCTCACTAGAACTCCGACAATTCACTCATCAATCGGTTCATGATCTCAATCAAAAACTTAACAATCTCCATAACCTCTGTACTAGTAATTATTTCATTACAAACTATTGAATTACAATAGGCCATACACAAAAACAACTGCATGTTCTAAACTCTTATGTTAGTTAGTGTAGAAATTGTAATCAATTAATAAATGCAATCCATGTTTATTTGTTCAATCAAGGAGTACATAAGTTTTTAGGAACTAGTTACCTCATGTTTTGATTGTTGACTGCATAAAATCACATAGTTAGTTAACAAAAAAAGATTGTACCGTTAATTAATTCTAGTTAGACCATTTGAAGCCAGTTCAATAATCTAAACATTTAACGCTTAATGCAAGACTTGAAAATTTTAGGCCCAGTCTCCAGCAGAGACATTGTAGCACATTATTTATATGTCATATACTACGATGATACAGTAAGTCATTAAATTATAATCTTGTCGGTAGCAATTTGAATTATCCCGTATAGAAATGAGTTTGATTGATTCTTTGTTAGATGGGAATTCCAAACAAAGTTGTTGTAGTCCTTTTCCTTTTCAGTATATTTATTATAAAGAATATTGGGACTACAATTTTCAGTCGCTTTTATTTTAAAGTACACAGAACTGATTATTATGGATATCAGGGATATCGAACTCAAAAGAATTAGAATAATTCTATTGACTCCTAAATAATCTACAGTCTATAACCAAAGTTAATAAAGTAACTTATTGAATTTACGGCAACAAAAAAGCCCAATCTCTAAGAGAAAAAAAATAAGGGAATATCCCTTTTCTTTTTTCATCATTGATACATTCAATTACTGTAGTTAATTTAGTATGTTCATATAATTGTACGGAGCGGAAACTTGGAGAACTAATACAATCATCATCAAAAATGTACAAGTATTTATAAATAGTTGTCTACGTAAGATACTCAACATCCACTGGCCGGATACCATCAGCATCAGACTTCTGTGGGGGAGAACAAACCAGCTTCCAGCTGAATAAGAAATTAGGAAAAAAACAATGGAAATGGATAGGACAAACATTACGCAAATCATCAAACTGCATCACGAGGCAAGCCCTAACTTGGAATCCTGAAGGGAAGCAGAAAAGTGGAAGGCCAGAGAACACATTACGTTGGGAAATAGAATCAGATATGAAAAGGATGAATAACAACTGGAAGGAGCTGGAAAGGATTGTCCAGAACAGGGTTGGATGGAGAATGCTAATGGGTGGCCTATGCTCCTTCACGCGGAGTAACAGGCGTAAGTAAGTAAGTAAGTAATATAATTGATCATTTACAATTGTTCCTTTTATTCACTTCATTGTTGATCAGATTAGTTAAATATTAGGTGATATGATAGCATCAACTTCATTAGGGAATTATATTTCATAGATTAATTCTTTTAAATATATATCTGTATCTGTATATGTTTTTTTATGGATTATTTATTCTGTGAATGATGATTACATTTGATTATGTAATAGATTATCCATAACATAATTGGAAAAAAAGAATCAAGTGTTCTAAGCATAATTCAAATACTGGTTTATGTTAGTTTGACTAGTTTAATCTATTGTATTAATGAATTCATTCATTCAAAGCATTTCGTTTATAAATCAAGTTGATCCTATTTGTTCATGATTCATGAATGTGTCAGATTGTATCATATAGAAAAACATGCTGATTTTAATCCTTGTTAGAAAGGGGTAATTATACAATTCAATAAATTAGTTATATATGCTGATTAAAGTAGTTGAAATGTTTGATATTTATCGTTTATGTAGGTAGTTGTGAAGATTGTTGAATGTCAGTGAAATCATTAGGGCAATCCAAATAAGATCATCATTGATAACCTAGAAGAGGTGGACAGTTGTTGCTTCATATCAGTCTAGAACTCTTCAACATAGAGCATCCATGAATCTGCACATGGGATGCGAATCCAACACCTTTGATCTAATGCTCGAACATTCAAACTCTAAACCCCTAAAAGGATATCCAATATTGTAAATGTTTAACCTTAATTAATCCAAATTATTGCGCGATTATCTTCCATTATCTTTGATGATAACTGCCTAGCAGGTTTTCAATGGTGGTCTATCATTTCAATGAAATTATTTTTTCGTATTCAGTATAATTCAGTTCAGTTTATTATTCTGTTATACAACAAATCTACCAACAAGTAAGTATTATCATTAAATGATAGAATCATTTCAAAAATACGCATTTATTCCTAGACATTTTGTTAACTCATAAAGTAACCATGGTGTGATTTGTGTAATTTATCTAAATATTGTTAATACGGTTATCTGAAATATCGTAGAATTGCCAAAACACTTCGAAACTGTAGACAGTGTTTTTTTGTAAAAGGACATTTAACGAGACTATAATTCATGGACGAGCCAAACAGAAGCGTTTGAGCAATCACAAGATCACAGCGCCTATTCCAGTGCCTAATATTCATGTATGATTGATTTACAGCTGATTTTAAAGAAGGTATTATAATTGAATGACTACTAAAAATGGGATTACTAAGAAGTTCCTCTGTTTGTGATTGTAGTAGTCAAATGTCTCATGGATCTTGTGCAGACTATCGTGATGTTGTATTTCAATGTAATATATGTTGAAAGAAAAATTCTGCTAGAACGGGAACCATTTTCGCCCGATCACAATTGAAACTCAGACTGATGATAATATTTCTTGCAAACTGGATAATAAAAGCATCAGTAACACGACTGAAACCTTTGAAAATGCTACAGAAACTTCGGAAGTTCAATGGTATGAGTATTGTCGAGATAAATGTGCAATAAAAACAGCGAGCTTACATGAGTCGTTTGGAGAAGTTCAGAGAATTGTAGAAATATCTAAATGGTCGTTAGAAAACTCAAATTCAATAGAGGACGAAGTGTTATAGAACACTGATTAAGTAACATTCCTGTAAATATACTTAACAGGTTCTTGCTATCTCAAAAAGGACCCTTCCAGCACATTAGAAACTGATAAGCTAAAACTATAATACCATATATACAAGAGTATGTGCAGCCGGGATCCACAATATACACGGATGGCTAGGGAGCATACCGATGCTTAAACAGACTTGAATACGTGCATCATGTGGTCATTCACAAGCGGCATTTTGTAGACCCCACAAATAATATAGAACCATTGTGGTCGAGTCTAAAAAATTTTTGCGAATTTACCATGGCTCAAGAGGTCAACCATTATGAAGTTACATGAATGAGTTATTGTATTGTATGCATTACGATTTCAGAATTGCAGAGTCTCTTTCTAATCTTGAAAAGTTTTTAAACTATGTCAAAGAAGTTTATTCACTCCAACTTTTTCATTTGTTTAATATCTTTTTACTCTATACTGAATTTCTCAAAGTCACTTAAGATTCGTTCAAAATATCATCCATAAATTATACTCTCATCATTTTGTTACTTCCTATTCCTATATTCTCCCATTTTTTTTGTCAAAATCATTTTCTGGTTAAATTCAATTCATTCATCGTTTATTGTTACATCATTCAATTGTATAATTTACCAGAATTTACCCAATTACTTTAATTGAATCATTGTATATGATCAATTATGACAACAATTTCTTATATTCCCTAATCATTTCCCCCCCCTAATATATGTTCCCCACATTGATTTCTGTTTGAAATATTTAACACTGACCAAGTACATTATTTAAATGCATATAGATAATAATGTTCTATTCATTATAATATAAACCTACCAAACAGTCTACTTACAAAATATTAAGTAATATCAATTAGGATATATTTCAATTGATTTAAAAAATTGAATGACATTTACTAATTAAAACAAATTTGTGAAGAGAAAGTTGATTGAATGAACAATCTCTCTCTCTATATATATATACATATGTATAGACTTACATTGATTTACATTGGACCATAATTGACTGATTTTCTTTTGAATAAGTTTACGACGCCTTTCATTACTAAATTGTAAAAACAAAATACTCGTAGTGAAATGTACTACTATTAGTAGTAATAGTGTATTGTTCATAATGAGAATGTTAAATCTTAAAAAAAAACCAGTACACTTAAGAAGATATCTCACAAGAGTCTCTACTAGATACTTTTTTTTCCAAGTCAGCATTTAGTTCTATACAGATGTGTATATTAGAATCTTTGGTGAGACTATAATTTATAGACGACGTTTGAACGATGCTAAACTGACTTTGAGAGTGTTCAACTAATAACTAGGATCAAATGAGGGTTATAAATTAGTGTGAGAAATTAGAATTATGATTGAGAGTTGATGATTAGGTTTAAGAATTAGATTAAGGGTTTTCATCATGAATTGAAATAATCTATAATGCCAAAACTCTATTTAGCCAAATGGATGGCTGAATTTCACTCCAAAATCTGAAACCTGTTATCTTATACCTCATTGATTCGTCCATAAATTATAGTCTCGCCGAATATTTTCCAGTCATTTGTAATTAGGAAATATCATACCTATTACAATTGATAACACAGTGCTTGTAAGATTTTGATGTTTTAAAACAAGAATTCTTATAGCGGTTGGATGAAAAAAAGATTATGATATGCTTATGTCTTTCATTCATGTTTTTTTACGGGTATCTAATCAAATTAATCAGTGACTGAAATGGTATGTAAACAAATGAGTTATTAAGTTTTGGTTCTTATTTGCATTGTGAAAAATGTTTGGTGAGTGAGGGTACAGTATTTCACTAATACCAGTCTTTCACTATATAAACAGGGTTTTTGTAATTAGTGAAACTCTGTGTGACAGGTTTTTCGTCTGCTATTAAAAATTAATTGTATCTTAATGAATACCAACTCTGAGATGCACGTATAACAGTTGATAAGATACAAAAAGGCCAAAATTCGTGTCCGATATTCCATTGCTAGCCACAATCTATTTCTGCTCTTATTGTTGTTGACCATAATCTCAGTATCAAAGTTATTAGAAAGTGATATGTCGTGCGTAGCCTAAAAAATACATATCATGTTCAGGTTACGTAACTAATGAGATGTAAGTCATAGTTTGTGAACTATAAAGCCAGATAAGATAATAGCATTTAACCTGATAATAACTCGTGAGTTATGAAAATCATTTTTCGGTTTTGTCCAATAGAGCTTTCTATTTGATCTTGTTCATCTTCCACATAACTTGTAAGTGAATCATTAGGAAAGTGATAGTGACGGATCGAAATTCAGATGACAACAATTTTTTGACTGAATGTAAAAAGTTGTGCAAATGAGAAGGTCATATTGATTATCAAAATGTGATTCAGGGAATACTCAATAATGTTTTCTACTATTCAGTTGCCAGGGTGAGGCTTGATTGACTAGAATTATGAATGGTTATCCACAGATTACTTCTATGATGGACCAATAAGTTTTTAGGAATTCCCATACAAGTTTGCCGGTTAATGTTATTTCGCTAACCTTAAGTAATTCTTTCAGTGAAATCGTAATCTAGACAGATCAGTATAACCTAGTACTGTGTATTAGCTGAAATGAACGTTTTAAAAGTTGTTAATTCATCTAAGATCTTCATATATAATCATTGCATTCATTTCCTTAATGAATTGTGTTTTTGAAAATAACAAACACAAACTTCCGTTCTTTGTGAGTTGTGAAGAGTATTAGAATCCATTTTTTGGAAATTCTTCAGCCAGATCTTTATACATTCTAGCGCTGATATTCACGCTGAAAATTGGACTCACAAAGCTATTCAACATAGATAGTCCTCGATTTATTCAACCGACATTGATCAAAGCATTCGATCAAGGTAAATATACACCCAGTGGTTGATCGAATGGTGTCCCGAACATCAACAATGGAATAATGCGAACCCTTACAAGCGAATAGTTGTGTGGTTCATCTACAAATTATATTTATAGAATAAAACCGTTCATTCTCTGATATTATATTCAGTGAGTATAGATGTCTACACTAATTGGTAATCAATGTTTATTTGATTTCACGTTTTCAAGTCATTAGTAGCAGTCAAAATTCATCGGTCGAAGTGATGATCAGTTACTAGGTTAAGTGACTTAGCATAACAATACGCCATGTTAGGCTGTTGGAGGGAACCTATACGAGATTCTTGACGTAAGTTTTACACCAGTTGGTACTCTTCAGTATTGTGCTTCAACAGTCTTAGTTTAACTACTAGCTCCAAGATGCTTAAAATATATTTCAACAGTCATAATACGTCAAACAACGAAAGCGCTTCGCTCATTTTTCTTTTGTATAACAGAGGATTGATTTGTATTATGGTGTTTATAGCTTCGAAGAGAAATATTTCTCAGTTAATTGGAATACATAACTGATCTTTATATGTATTTGACCAAAAATTTACATTTTTAGTCAGACAAACTATGACTAGGAATCCTCTGAAGGAGATATTGTCATTTCCCTACACATACATTTTGCATTTTGATAGAGGTATCGTTCAAAGCTATAAAAACGTTCATCATAATTCGATTGTTCAATTGTCAAATACGAAAGTCAATTATCCCTAGTATATTCGTATATTTTTCACAACAAGAGAGCTGAACTTCTGAAGGCTTTTGGAAGAATTTTGAGATAACCATAATATAATTCATGAAATCAGGAGAGATGACTATGAATGATGATGATTTTTAAATAGGTCAATAGTTTCGGTGAGGCTCATTAATAATACAAACATAGTGAATAGTTAGAAAGACCGTTTACCTTACTTGTTGATAAAAATGTCAAAAGTAGACAGTATTACAAGTTTTTCGACAACTAATCCACTATCCAGTCAATACCTGTTGAAATGATTTTATGAAAGTCATCTGTCCTTGTATTTCCAGCCAACCACGAGACGAAGTATTTCAAGAGTTTAACAAAAGAATGTGTTTTAAAATATAAAAACTGAGTGAAAACATATGCTTTATCATAATTGGAGTGTATTTTAAAATTGTTACGAATGGCTTACCTAACATTCTGTATTCACTGGACAAAGTACTATTATAATCTAATATCAACAGTGAATACTTCTAAATTATTAGGGTTTGTTGGTTAAATTGGTTAAAATTTAAAAAAAGAACATAATGATAACATGATAATACAAATCAAGCTTTAAGTGGACATTCAACCTTAAACAACAAGAATTACTGGTAGTAATAATCATAGTAATAATTGCGGATTGATTTCAGTTAGGCATTCACATCGTTGGATACTGTCACAGTAGTTTACAGGTTAAACATTCGTAAGTAAAATCGAAGCTCTTAGGTTCGATTCTTGTGTGTGTGGAAGGACGTTGATACTCACTAATGAGGAGTTGTTCAACTTAGATCATTCCAGGATCTTAATAAAAAACTAAAAAAAAATTTTTATATGCATTACACATTTAATATACACCATACATTATGTGATTAGTGAAAGCTTATTGAATAACTAAACATTGAATAAACCTACCGATAAATACATAACACAATTAACGTTATCAATAAAATAATACTGATCACTGTAGTTAAAGCAACGGAGAGAAATAGTCCAATAGTTAATACCGATGGATTTGATGTTATTGTTAATAATGATAAACTTCGATTAGTTAACTTATCTATTGTATAATTTTCAAATGATTGATCATTTATAAAAGAAGATGAATGAGTAGATATTTGATTATGTATTGAATGTAATGTTGATGTAGATATAGGTATAATAGGATCAAATTGATTGTAATTACTTTCATTGATAATCTTATTCATTTGATGATTGTTAAATAATTCTAATGAGTTAGCAGTTATATTAACTAGAATATAAACAAATGAATAAGGGGTGAATAATAAGCTATAAATTTATAAATAAGTAGTATATCTAAGTATATTATCATATATAAGTATACAAACTTCATTATAGTGAATAATATTTGAAAATTCAGTCTTCTTCTTCCCTGACATGATAGGTTACTGGCTAACAAAACATACTGCGAGTCATTTTTGGAAAAATTTCAACACTTCACTTCTATCAGAAATTTGTGCTGATGATATTGTTTATAAGAACAATGAAAGCTCAACGAGTAAACCATTTCACTGTGAGAAAGAAACTCTACTAAAAACATTGAAAACGGTGAAGAAGATTTTTAGCTCAGGTGGATGATTTTAATGGAGTTTTGTTCTCTAACCTGGATGGTTTGGTCGTGGAGCTTTCATCGTTCTTCTGAACGACATCGTCAACACAAACTTCAGATAGAAGTGAAGTGTTCGAATTTCTTCATATACGTTTCACAGCTTGTTCCTTACACCTCGACGTTGATTGGTTCTGATTGACATTAAATTTGTCATTGTTTAATTCTTTGTTTTGGTTGTTTTGAAATTGAAAACAGTTAAATTATATTTTCAGCAAATCAAATAGTATAACTGCAAACAATTAAACATGTTTCCATATATACAAATGTAAGAATTAATGAGTATGATGACCGTCAGATAAGAAACCTAAGTTTTACTTCCAGAGAAGAGAGTTTGATGTTTACAAATATCGGGCGAAGATATATATATATATATATATATATATATATATATATATATATATATATATATATATATATATATATATATATATATATATGCTTCAGTGATTTACACCTCTTACTAGGTGTTTCTTCCTAGGTATTCTATTCGTAGTTAGAAATATACCTACCAGATAGCAATTTCTCATTGCTTTTTAGAATAACCAGACACCATCTGGGCATTTACATAAACTGAACAACACAGGATAGTCCTGTTACACAACGAAGGACCCTGGTGTTATTGGAACTAAGAGACTTTTTACATTTTGGGATCGGAAAATAGATCCAAGTATATTTCATGCAAAATATCTTTAGTTCTTTAATCACATATTTCAGAAGATGATTTACATCATTGAATAATTTCAATGTTATTTTATTCTGTTTACTTTTGATGTAGGAAAATGACTTTCTTCTAGTGTCATATTGATCCTGTTATCATGTATTTAAAGATAAACATCTAGTAATTTATTATCATAAGAAATTTGATAGAACGCAACTTTATCGATTCATTATGAGATATTACAAAGGAACATGTAAACAATTATAGGCGGTCCGTTTGAATATCTGAGCTACCTGTTCCTGCCATCTGGATATTTCAACAAGTTATTTATTTTCTTGTTTGTTTTAACACATAACTATGTCCATTAATCGCATAACCTATTCAGGAGAGTTTGTAACAAATTTATGACATTTCTCTGTACAAGTTATAGAAGTGCCCAATCAGAGACATCGCGGTTGCCGATAATATGCATCTAAAAGAATGTACACTATTAAAATATCGATTCCTGAACTGCCAACATCTAACTGGCGATTACCCAATATTAATCTCAAGGATCAATCAAGAAATAAAAAACGGGAACTTATTGAAATACTTCATGCTGAGAATTCTATATTATACCAAAAATAGAATACTGAATAAAGCCATTATTAATTTTATTTTAAATGTAGTATAGTTATCATCTGTAATAGTAAACACCTTGTATTTCGTACCTAGTCTGAATTCTATATTACATAACTTCACATTACTGACAGTTTGATGGAAGAAAAACAAATCTTTCACTTGATGATAAATTAATTCTTTATTAGCCAACAGAACGTAAAACGTTAACATTGAAACTTATATCACTCAGTCGGTAACAATGTTAAACTTCGTGCCTACATACATCAGTTCGACTTGTCATACCATATTAGCACACAGATACAATCGAAACTTATATGAATGCTATCGACTTAGAAAAAAAATTTATTCAAAAATATCACCTCATTATTATCATCAATATTAAACTGATAATTTAGTTATTTACATATTTGTGATTTATTTAAACAGGTGACTTTTCTCACAATCCTTATATGGATATTAATTTTTGATATAATTTTTTAACTTATTTCCCCCCCTTCCCTAGTTACTATCGTATATTTTTTTCTAGGATTATCAAAATTTCCTCTAAATTAGCTATTATTAGTGCTTAACAATTTTCAATAGGGTTTATTTTTAAAAGAATTAAATTATAATTTATTTATTTACTTTAACAGAATAATTAAGCTTAAGAAGGTATGATTGAAAGTGTTTATTTAATGTTTTCGTGAAACCCGGTTCATCATCTCAATCAATAACGTAATAATCTTCACAACCCTATACTGATAATTACCATGTACTCACTGGTGACTAGATTCATGAGTGAATTGTCGGTGTTCTAGTGAGAAGTCCGTGACCACTGGAGCTAACCCGTGTTGGGTAGAGACAGGTATCTACCTCAGTACAATGGAAGATGGTCACGCAATTTCGTGGATTGGTTGAGGTTAGACACTGTCACCATCAGATGCCGGCTCAGTGGTCCAGTAGGTTGAGCGTTCGCGCGCGAGACCGAAGGCCCTGGGTTTGAATCTCGTGAGCGGTATCGTAGATTCGCACTGTTGAGGAGTCCCACAATAGGAAGAAACGGCCGTCCAATGCTTTCGGGTTTTCAATGATGGTCTAACATCGATCGGTTCAAGACCTCAATCAATAAGTTAGTGTAATATTAATCTTTACATTCCGAATATTTTCAGTCATATATATGTATATAACAGCAGCTGATCTGCAATATATTATCAACCTCTAACACGAAAACGATGAAATGCAAAAAAGAACTTGATGTTTATACAAAACAAATCAAAATGGTAAAACTCAGCATATAATGAACGGAAGATTGATCTTCAAGTATATGAAAGTGTGAGGAACTTCAAACAGCAGCAACCCATCAGAAAAATTCAAGTTCAATTGAATAATTGAATTAAATTAAAAACGCTAGGGATTACCGTTGTAGTGAAGGAGAACACAAGTGAGGACAATCGATTGTATTCGAACGCAAAATTAGAGAATGTCTTGGTAAAATCTGAGAACCATACGGTAAATATTTCATTTGCAAAATGTTCATCAATTGTCTCAAACTTGACCGACCCTTTTGCAAATGTTAATCACTAGTTCCAGACTTTACCTTCATTTCCACAGCAGCTGTTCTCGTTCTCTTTTCTTCGATCTTCTTAACCTTCTGCCGCCAGGTATTTCAATTTCGATTGATGGTACATACCACTTAAATCTGTCGACATCAATAGCACACACCACATCGTTACAAGTAAGATTATAACCATGTTAACAAAAATCGAATGATCCCGTCACTGACCCCTCAGTAAAATAAAATTTATCGACTAAACTTTAAGTACGAAACAAATCTAGATCTCACTAAATATATTTAGTTAAATCGGTTTATTGTAATTAAAAATCTCCATCTGTCATCTGTGTTTGTTTGCATTTTTGAGCCATTCAAGCCCACAGTATTTTTCTATTTTAATTACCAGTTTTCCGCGATTATAACATGAAATAACTCATATGTGTAAACTATTTAATGGGAGGTGATACACATCTATTTGGTTAAAAGTCATTTGTATCATTACGGATCAAATTTAGTGATGGGGAGATTCTATGGTGAAAATACAGTGATCAAGTGAGCTGTATGATTTCAACACAATATTTAATTACTAGTATAAAATATTACTAGTCCATAGGAAAATAAGTGTCCTCCATATCCGAGTACATAAATTCATATTCTGTACGTGATTAGCATATTTGAATACTATATGTGGTGTGTACTACTTGTGCGGACAAACATAAGCAGTATGTAGCAGAAATTGGAAGTAGAATGTTTACTAGCAGAAGAGTGAAATAAAGAGAAAGTATAACAAAGAGTAATCAGAATAACAAGATTGGAAGAATGATAAAATATATAAAGGACGACCGAAGGAAGATATGCAAATGATTTTCACACTTTATAAAGCTACCGTTTGGTTAACCGCGCCTGACTTATCGTTCGCTGTACCATACACTTTAAGAATTAGAGTTCATATTAAGGCAGTTATTAATTTGGCAGGTCATTTTCACAGGATAACAATTGTTTGTCATCGTTGTAGTCATTATTTAGAAAATAAGTAGTGGAATTACACTAATCTGCCAGTGAATATTGCCACATCAGGTCTTCAATGATGAATTGAACTACGGCGACCATGTTTACATTTGATCAATAGTCTATGTGACTAGAGATAGTGTTTCACTTTTTTGTTAAGTCGTTGAAACTACTGGCCAAATATTTTTTAATTGTAATACAAGACAAAATGTGTTTAAACTTTATCGGCTCATTGTTTTAAAAGTGATGTCTAGTATGAAACATATATCCTAATAAAATCTTGTCAATTACTGAGAACTATATACAACATTATTTTATGGGCAGTAATAATGTATTTCATTTTCATTGTGTTTTTCTTCATAAAACTTACATTTTGGTGATAATAAAAGGATTGGAGAACTAAACGGACAGTAAGCGTTAGGATTTTGAGCTCGAATCTGTTGAAAAAACAAAAGGGAAATAGATACACAAGTTAAACTATAAACGTTATTTGTACATACTAAATGGATTGGTTATTTGACAGACCTTGTACAAGAGTCAAATAAACAGTTGTTAGGTAATAAATTTGGCTTTAGATTTTAGAGTTAAAGCGTGAAAATATTATTGACAATGCACATTTGAAGTACCCAATCAAAAAACAGTTTTATGATGGAATTTGATTACTGCCGGAGACGGATATCCGTGGGATGAGGTGAGGTGTGCATTTTTAGTGTCGACCTTTTCTAACCCCACCCCTCCTTGTGGAAAGGCAGCATCTCCGTCATGCTGTTTGTCTGAAGGAAACACCTTACTGCTGTCACACCTCTGTACAGTTAGCAGTACGACTCCGCCTTCGGACCTTGGATTTGTTGCTTTTAGTCTTACCGCTCTTCAACCGACCTGTCTGACATAATGGGACCTTGAGGAACGGTTGTTCCAGCCAGTATAACCTGGTTGCTTCATTACGATAGGCAGGCCCGACCACCACGTTAAGGTAGCAACAACGGTCGGGCCGACATTGAATAAATGCATACTTTTTAGTCAAAGAAAAAAATTCACTGTATTAAAATAGAACATTTTCAATATAAATAAATCATTTTTTAATGAGTTATTCTTGTTGTTATTTAGTTTAATCTGTTGTGGTATTTACCTCGGATGTAGGTCATTGGATGACTATTCACCAGCGATCAATGATTGACTGACTAACTGATTGATTGATATTTGAGGCAGGAATTATTAATAGCACTGGGGATCACAACGAAAGTTGTAAATCTTACCGATGTCCGAATTGTAAACGATTGTTTGACAACTGATTAATCATATAGTCTTCATCTCATCATAAGGCCTAAATTTCCTGAGTTCAAGCCTGGGAAAGATAACAAGTATATGCTACTGAAGTGTCTTGTACTCAAACTATTCAATACTCTTTATTCTCATTGGGATTTCAAGTGATGATAATCTAAGAATATATATAGTAAATTAAACTATAAAAAGAGTTTATTTAATTGTAAACAAATCACATACTTGTATTAAGAATCCTGATTTTGCATATAAATTATATAATATAATTTCTGATTGACTAGTATAATGTACAGCATCTGGATGTCCAATAAGTCCAGTACCATGTGTATGATCAGTTTGTTGTATTCCTTTATTAAAAACAAAATGTTGTCTTCTTCTTCTATTACCATTATGGTTATTATTATTATTAAGGATCTGATTATTATTACTATTATTGTTTCCAATGTAAGTGATATTTACATTCATTTTTTTATAATCACCATAGTTACTATGACTTTTATTAGTTTGATTGATTTTAGTAAAATAAGTAAAATTATTTATTTGTAAATTTTGATTTGTTTGATCAAATAAACATAATTGAAATTTCATATTTGATGATAATAAATTAGTTGGTATTTTATCGATTTTAATTGTATCTAATTGATTAGTTATATTCGATGAAATGATTGTCGATGGAGATGGAGATGGCGGTGACGATGATAATGATGATGGTGATGTTATAACTTGATAAACATCCCATTTTATATGAACTGTACTTATATTAAGCCAATTTGTTTGAATATTAGAAATAAGATAAGTTGGTGCTTGAAATTGTTTTTAATGAATAATTAAAATAATTAAATAATTAAATCAAATTAAATATTATAAATTGAATTAAATCATTATTAAATATTATCAGTATAGGATTGTGGAGATTATTTAGTTTTTGATTGAGATCATGAATTGATTGATGTTAGGTCACTATTGAAAACCTGGAAGTATTAAATGGTCATTTCGTCCTTAACAGTGCGGATCTCATGATCTCGCTCGCGGGATTCGAACCCAGAACCTTTGGTCTCATAGGCGTACGTTTAACCTATAGAACACTGAGTAGGTATCCAGTTGGATTTTTATTATTTAGTTACATCAACTATTAATATTTATCAATGAGCATATATCATGGGATAAATGATAAGCGTGAATTTGAAGAACCATATTATTTGTTCTGAAACAATCTTTCTCACTGATAAATTTGATTACGACATAAACTATACTAGTAGCATTATTAGATAAATTTATTCTTTCATAACTGTTGTCATTATTGTACCAAACTTGATTAGTAGTATATGTTGGGATGGTTTTCGAGAAGCACAACGAAGCCTCCAGAGACAAATAGTTTCTATCCAATCCGAGCCTGAAAGAGCTTTCCAGAATGTCGATGTGGCGTTAGCCGTATATCAAATTCTACCGTAATCAAGTAGAGGGTGTAATAGTATGCACATTGAGTATGATTGATTATTACTATTGTTCCTGTAATGTAAGAAACTGACGAGAATTTACGATACAAATGAAAACATTTTATAATTTTACGCTTGTTGTTTTCGCCAAAAGAAACATTTACTTTCCGCCCTGTTTTGTCTGGTGTAGTAACTACCACACACACACACACACGGACACACAATTCAATCTAGCTATTGTGCAAACTTTAAAAACTCAGACAGTATGTGACTGCTGATTCATTTTCACCATAATAATAATTCATTTCTTTTGTTAGGAAATCACGACCTTCAGCATATTGTGCATCTTATGTTCATGTCCATGTAAATCTACTCTTGTAGTGGTCATGTATACTTGTATGTGTTTATCAATCAACCACTTTTTATCCAATCGTTACCTCATAGTCACACTATGCTTTATACATTTTGACCTATATTAACGCTTGTAATGAGTAGTAAAATGGAGTTGACACGGTCACCATCTCTGCTTCTCTGTCCTACCTCTTATCTCAATGTCTATCTGAGTAAATGAGTGCGTGAAATAAATTCATCTAACCTAATCCGTATTTGGCTTTTTACAAACACCATCACATGAACAGGGTCAGCCCAGGTGTAGTATGCGGTACTAAACAAGAAATTTTTATTCATTGCGTATTCACTCGTTGGTCCAAATAGGGGTCACATCTCGGATCACTAAAGTGGTTAGCCACAACAGTTTGAAATCAGATTTGTGATCGAATGTGAAACTAATAAGTTCGTGATTTTAAAGTGGAAATGAACCGCTGTTAAATTCAATTTTCAGTACCAATTTAGCTTTGATATCTATATATTTTTTTTTACACATTTCTGACAACCCATTATAAGTGATGTTGTTAGATTGCATTCCAAACATGAAATTTCCTAGAGATCAAATAAACAAACGCTTCTGATTGGGGATATGTTGGAGTACATTTAATTACGGTATCTTTGTTAGTTACTTTCCTTCTGTTCATAGGAAACTCTCACAAGATTCAAATACGGTGATAAATAAATTACTTGCGATACTTATCTCCATTAAAACCCATTGACCGGTATATTGATAAGAATTTTAGGCGAATAAAATAACAGATAATAGTTCCTATCTGGAATACATAGAAATTGATTGAACCTCCATTCATAACAATCAATATTTTATTTTAATCTTATAACATAGAACTGACCAAGGTGTGACCCTATACATGTGACAGAAAACTTGAACCAACCACAACCTAACTTTGATCATAGTCAATGAAAACCCAAAACTCATTCAGGTGTTTCAACAAGACATTAAGTAGATGCTTCAAACATTACAGTTTTCAATTTAGTATGCAATTCAATATTAATTATCACGGTTGGTGGCACATATCGTATCACAAATGGCGAATGATTCGACGCTTAAGCTGTCCACTAATTTTTAACGAATTGACGCCAAACTTTTTAAGCTATAGTAGTTATCACTAGATCAAAGTTTGGAACTTAACCATTTACATTTAAGATCAAGAAAAAAAAAATTACAAGATAGTTTCAGTATTAAGTAATGGGGTTTGGTAAATAACTCAAAGATCAAATATATAGCATATATTTGCCAGTGAACCTGGCATGCATCCATGAAACTATAAAATTGAGAGATGTGAAAATTATTATGATTGGTTCTGTTGAATATCTAGCAGTTCTCTAATTCTATCTTATTTTAGTAAACATTTACATGTCAATAATCTTTTACCGTTGAAGACCTTATGTACTACAGAATTAATTAAGTTATCACGGATACGAGAAGAACAGGATTGTGATAATAGGCCCAACGTTATGAAAACATGGAAGATATGAGATTTATGTTATAAAATGTTATATTTAGCGCCAATCGAACTAATCTCATCTCAACTCACCTGATCCTGTTGTAACCATTACACTAGCTACATTAATCCACATAGTACCTGTTTTGGTTGATACAGCATTGTGTGCATAAACATCGAACTGATAACGTGTCTGTGGATTTAGTCCTGTTATTGTAACTCTGAAAAAGAAACAGGATAAGTTTCATAACGACAACTTTTGTTGACATTAATATGAGGAATTAGCGTACAAAAGAAACAATAATGTTATACAATAATAGATAATACATATGCCGGGTTGTTTAATGAATGATTGCTACTGAGGGACTCCTATTAGGACGAAACATTTTCCAGTGACGTTAGTTTTTAAAGGTGTTCTAAGTTAGTCCAGTTCGTGATTTCAATGAAATTGAACGATCTTCACAACCTCATGCTAACAATTACCAGGTACTCACTGATGGCTAGCTTCGCGAAGAAATTTCCAGAGTTCTAGTGAGAAACCATGACCAGTACAATTTAACCGTATCGAGTATGAGACAATTAACCACCAGTGACAGTAGAAGATGGTTGTGTAATATCGTGGATTTATTGAATTTATGTGAGTACACCATTAAATCACAACTCAATTTGTCCAGAGGTTAAATGTTTGCGTCCAAAACCGAATATTCTGGGTTCTATCTCCTCTGATGGGATTGTGGATGTGGAATGCTAAAGAGTCCCATACTTGGATGGAACACTTAGATTGGTTCATGTATTGAACTGAAAACAAATATTTTATTTCAACGGTTGAGATCATGGGTCAATTGTAGCTAAACCACCATGGAAAATCTGGGAGCACTGAACGGCCGTTTCGTCCCATTGTGGGGCTTCTCAGCAGCGCTACATCGGAAAATACGAACAGAGCGTCACAAGATATTTCTATTCAGTTGGTTCTTGATCATATTTGAAATTGCGTTGATTGTCATATTGTTCATACCTAAGTATTACAAATAATTGTTTCATATTTCGTTACACAATAAGTGAAAAGACGTAAATGCTTAGAAAAAAATATTTTCCAGTCTCTTACTGTGATTACTACTATTATGAAATCTGATAGTTTTTCATAATTATATATGAAAGGGTTTGAATTTGACTATTATTTGACAATAGAAATTTCAAACATTTACAAAAGGCGTTTACTTACTTCATACCTTTCAAATCCTTATTCATCATATTTGAATATGTCACTTTTACTAAGTATTTAGTGGGGCTCTTTATTTTGTCGTCATTTAGATTAGACAATGTTTTCGACGGGCTCTCCACTTTAGTGGCCCGTGTTCTGACTCCAATTTGATCGTATGAATGATTGTTATTGAAATATATATGACAACTATCCTCGTATATAGTCGTCGACTTAAATCGCGTTAGTCAGTAACGGAATTAAATAAGTCAGATAACGAGAATAGACTTTTGAATACATATATTTTGTAGAGCGAATGGAATAGAGCAAAGCGAAACGATAAGCAATGGAGATGGCAGGTAAGCCAACTCCATTTATTCAAGTGTTAATCAGTATTTATAGACACAAACAAATAAGTTACACAACACATATGATGAATAATGGGATGGGAACTGTTCACCCATATATGCTCAGATTTAAAACAGTCAAGATCGATAAGCGAATAATTAACAATATCAAAATGTAGCTGAACTAGAATCAATAGATTGGCCTGTCCGAAAGCGAGAATACGGTATATGGGCTTAACATGTCAACCGACACTACAAGTAACTTAATGAATAACGTGTTATAGTTTGAAGCGTTAACAACTAGATTCCATCATAGTACGAATGTTAACACTAAGATTTAAGTAACTATGATGATGAAAATCATCTTATTCTTCTCCATCTTTTAATTGCTGCATGTATTTCATTGTTATTCGGACAGAATATCTCGGATCTGATTTAAACTAGACAATCATTGAGTGTCATGAAACACTGAACAGATCCTTCGTTTTTGTATGGGACATCTTCAAATTTGTAATATTTTTACCTATCCAATACACAACTATTGGTAGTTTAAAATTTATATGCTAAATTAATGATTGGCACAAATTAATTGGTATTTTTCAGTACGTAGGTTTCGGTGGAGATCATAGAATTTTCATAGTTAAGTTCACGAACTTAACTAAACCATTAGAGAAAACCAAGATGCAGTGGGCAATAGTTTCGTCCTGGTTTGTTTCGGTAGTCTAATTAAGATCATGTAAGCTAACGAAATATAAACATAATATAGATTATTTGTTCTACATTAATAGCTGTTGTAGTGAAGGAGAACACAAGTAAGGACAACCGAATTATATTTAACACATTACAGAGTTACTTGGTAAAATAGAAAAACCATACTATAATACCTAATTTTCAAAATGGTCAATAATTATCTCGGACTTCATTGTTCTTGCATTTCTATACTAATTGCTTTCTATTCCCGTTCTTCCTTTCTTGATCTTCCCAATCTTCTGCTGCCAGACATTACAGTCCCCACTCGCGTTATATACTACTTATGTCAATATCAGTAGCACACACCACAATGTTAAGTGACGTGTTTGAAAAACTCTTTGCTGGTAATACTTTCTATACAAGTGTCAACTAGTATGGAATCTTTGTTTAAGAGGCCTTCAATTGATCGAGTTCAAACCGATAAAACATCAGTCCATAGTAAACTGATGACCTTACAAATATTGAACTCACTATTGTTTTTATGAACATTTAAAAGTAAATACTACTACTCTATGAAAAAATAAATACTATCTGATATTACGTTATATATGTTTGTCACGCATTTCGCGTTTCAAATTTTACTCAGTAAAGAGAGATGTTTATCACCTATGTAGAAAAATGGCGGGACTATAATTTATGGACGGACCAATCAGATATATAATAGGTAGCCTTGGATTTTAGCGAAAAGTTTATTCATCTATTTGGCTAAATAACGTTTTGGAATTATAGCTGATATTAGTTTATGATGAAAACCCTAAATCTAATTCTCCAAATTGGTTTACAACCCTCATTTAGTTGTAGTTTGTAGGTGGATACTCTCAAAGTAACTTTAGCATCACTCTAAGGTCGTATATAAACTATAGTTTCACCGAAAAATTATATTGAGTCAGTCATTGATTTACATATTATTATGGGTATTATTATATTATGATAGGTCCTAGGTTCTATTGTCGCGAGGTGGGATCGTGGATGCCTACCGCTGAGGAGCGCCATACTAGATCAAAACGACCGTTCAGTGCTTCTATGTTTTCCATAGTGTTCTAGCTTCAATTGACTCATGATCTCAAATAGTAACGTTACTATAATATCTACAGAAACCCCTTCTGGTATCTGATATGTATTCATTTTTATATTTCCATGTGGAACATAGAAGTTGTTATCACTATTGATTAGTTATAAAATCAATAAATTTATACCATTACTTCAGTACTGAATTGTAACCTCAGGATGTTTTTTTAATTTAAAAAAAATGAACACAACTAAAAACTACATTTTACATTAGAGATAGAGCTAGAGATGAGAAATATTACATAACAGATAACTATAACTACATGTCACTTATTTAGAAAAAATGACCAGTACGCACGTTGGTCAACTTATTGACTTCATTATGATTGAGAATGAATGAACTATAAAATATAAATCTTCTCCATAACTATATATCTTTGGACGAACCTCGTTGTAAAACGATGGTAATTTTTCCTCAGTCATTTATGCATTCAAACAGATTGTAAAAAAGTGAAGCTTAGCCAAAGGCTTTCCAGTCTGCACAATTTTATCAAACTTTAGACAGATAAAAGGAATTTTGGTGGAGTTTTGTTCTCTGAGCTGGACGGTTTGATCGTGGGGCTTTCATCGTTCTTCTGAACGACATCATCAGCACAAACTTCAGCTCAGAGAACAAAACTCCACCAAAATCATCCACCTGAGCTACAAATCTTCTCCACTATCTCACAGAAAAGGAAGCTAATCATAGGTAACCAATAGAATAGTGATAAAAGGCACACATGTGCTTATACAAGAAACGATCAAGGTAACAGGTAAATGATTAGCGCTACATCAAATATATGTATTCAGAAAGTAATTCAAGGAGACTGAAATAATTTAGCGGTTCCGAAGTTAGAAAATATAATATATTCTGACAGAAGATTACTTAATTAATGTTAAAGAGAATTTAATTTTGTATTATTACATTGTTAATTCTTTCTTTCAACTCATATATTCATAATGACTTTTCCGCTATCTCATTGACTGTTATCACTTATAATTTGCTAACTCCATTATATGCCTCAAGGTCATTTGATAGTACTATATCAAGAAAGTTCTTCGGTGAGACTATAATTTATGGACGACCTTTTAGCGACGCTGAAGTGGCCTTGAGAGAACAACTTCTAATTAAGACTAAATGAGGGTTATAAAACAGTTAGAATTCTCATTTATAGTTGATGGTTAGAGTTTAAAATTAGATTTAGGGTTTTCATCACGAACTGACATCAGCTATAATGCCCAAACCCTATTTAGCCAAATTTATGAACGAATTCTGCGCCAAATTCGTGAATCGTTATTTTATATCTGATTGGTTCGTCCATAAATTATAGTCTCGCCAGTTCTTCTTCTTCTTTTAATTTTGACTTCTGCTCAAAATCCTCAAAGTACCATTCCCTCTTATTTTATTTTATTTCAACACATAGGTATTGGTACAAAGAGGCACCAAATACATATGCGCCACACAAATCCCATTCGATATGTGTGGGGACTGTGATACTACCCGGGTGCCCAAACCGAACCACGTGGTTTTCTTAAGGGGCCATGCCCTGAGTCTTCGACCTGATGGTCTGATCCACAAGGCAGTGGAGCATCGTCAGGAGATGCAGTCCCGTGGAAGTCGGTGACCAACGATTGGTTCATGCACCATTTGTTCCCGCAGGATACTGGAGCGCATGTGCACCATTGGTTTAGAATCCGGTTAAAGCGCTGGATATTCGCTTTTCGTCCTCTCAATTTCGTGAACAACACTCCCGCCACGAGAAGGCAGTGAGTAGGACTTCCCTGGCAGAGGCTATATACGTGTGGCCGTGTGAGAGCGTTTCGAGAGGGGGGTGGACTCTCCCCACTCTCGGCCGTACCAGGGCATTTAGGGGCCGTACCAGTTATCGAATTAACTATTGAAGTGAAAGTTTTATTACACACAACAAACATTCAATCTATTCGAGTTCTTATTTCAATTTTCACATTTAAAAGAACTAGAAATCTTAATACATGAATCAATTTAATCTAAACTTTATATAGAAGTGCTAATATTAGTCAAGTATTTAATCTTTCAGTAATGTAGAATAAGTAAAGTATACTTTATTCTATTATTATTTGTATTCAATAGATTTCATTTTGTTTCTTCTCATCTAATTGACACTTAGTTCTTTTTTCTTTCACATTTCATTTGCATATTTGTAGTCTATTTAAAGTATACGATAGTAATAGTAATAGTAATAGTAATAGTAATGATAATAGTAATGGTAATAAGTAATAATAATAATAATAATAATAATAGTAATAATGATAGTAACAATAGTAGGGAGGTTGAAGAAGATTACAGATAAGAACAAAATAACGTATATAATTGTCTACAAATCACAAATATTTCATGTTGAACTGAACATACATCAGATAAGTAAAAAGAAAAAAAGCTTGTCAGTTGTTTTTCTCTCTTTTTTTCTTTTTAACTTTTGTTGTTGTTGCCTATAGAAACAAATGAAACGTATTGAATAACATTTTTCTTTTTTAATTTGTTCGAAATAAAATTTTATTGATGAAACCCTCTTTTTTAAAATTTTATTTCGTTGCTTACTGTTATATTTTAATAGTTATTTCTTAAAGAATATACTATACAATTTCTATGTACTCATTAGTATTGATTGTATGAATGATTGAATAAGGTTTAATATCAGATGGGTTTTTTGTGGATATTGTAGTAATTTCAATGGTTAAGATCATGAGTCAGTTGAAGCTAGACCACCATGGAAAACCTGGAAACACTGAGAAGTAGTGACCAGTGGAGTTCAACCAGGTCTGTTGTGAGATAGTAACTCACTGAAGACAATGGTGAATGTGTCGCTCAATTTCGTGGATTAGTTAAAGTTAGACATTAACACCGTTGGATGCCGGCTCAGTGGTCTAGTGGTTAAGTGCTCGGGCGCGAAACCAGTAGGTCCTGGGTTCGAATCTCGCAGGGGGCGAGGTCGTGGATGCGCACTGCTGAGGAGTCCCACAATAGGGCGAGACGGCCGTCCAGTGTTCCCAGGTTTTCCATGGTGGTCTAGCTTCAACTGACTCATGATCTTAACCATTGAATAAGGTCTATTGTAATGTTATATATAGGTATTTTATTATTTGAATTTATAAAATAAGCATTATCATGATCATAATATGCCCTCAAATGCGCTGGTACGGCCGAGAATGGGGAGAGTCCACTCTACCTCTTCAAATGCTCTCACATGGCCACGCGTATAAAGCCTCTGCCAGGGAAGTCCTAATCACTGCCTTCTTGTGGTAGGGGTGTTGTCCACGCAATAGAGAGGACGAAAAGCAAATGTCCAATGCTTTAACCGAGTTGGTTGACACGAACAATCCATCCAGGGGAGTTGGAAAACCCTGATTCAAAACTAATGGTGAACATGGGCTCCAATAACCTGAAGGAACAAATGGTGTATGAACCAATCGTTGGTCACCGGCTAACATGGAACTGCATCTCCTTACGATGCTGCACTGCCTTATGGATCAGACCTTCAGGTCGAAGGCTCCGGATATGCCCCTAAGAAAATCACCTGCTTCTGTTTGGAGACCCGGGCAGTATCACAGTCCTCACACATATCAAATCAGATTTGTTAGTCGCATATGTAACTGGTGACCCCCTTGTGCCAGTATTTATATGTTCAAATAAATAAATAATGATCATCATATTGAATATGATTCGATGTAGGTGTAGATAGCAAATGGATTGATTAGGTATTGAATTTTCACCTGCTAAAACAGTTGTGATATGTATTATGTATGATCAATTACTGTCTACCTTAAAGTAAAATGTTTAAGCTAAAGTGTGGTCAAACCAAAGTGTGGTATCAGTTCATGAAAGTTTAAGAAGTGTAGGTGAGTATAATTTATCTAATTAGAGGTAACTAATGACTTGATTTCTTAAGTTTCATGACTGAATATTGATATCTATGATATAGATAAATTCCTTCTTTAGTTTGCCTAAAATCTGGAGCTTTGAAATCATTTTCTTTCTGATAATTCATCTTTTTTTATGTTTAATCTTTTCTACAACCACTTATACCATTACTATATTTACTATTCTGACATTTGTCTTGATAATTCAATTTCACTATGTTGATGCAGAATAGCAGCCTGGACCAATGTACATATATATCAGATGACAGACCAGATAAATCAATAGGGGAATTTAATTAAAACTTGATGGTGTTATGGTTGTTAAGAAATAGGTTGTAACTTGTTGACTATTGATACTAAGACATCAGATTGGATAAAACAGTGGTCAATTTATTTCTTGAGCACATTTCAGTATGAAAACTCAAGATTTGAATATATATAATTCATATTGTAAGCAATAAGCACTCGAACGCTAGAACCTTCCAAGTTGCAAATGAGAAGATAGAAGACGAGTGAAAAGGAATGATATTTAAAACAGTGTCAAATATAGTAAAAAACTATCAGGTATTTATAGTTTTTAGTAAAAGTGAATTCATCATTATAGTCATCCAATCCTTATACAGTGGGTTTTAGCATTGATGCAATAAGGAAGCTTCTGGAATGTTCTTCCGAAAGATGATTGGATGGAATGTCTTTAGCTCTTACTGAGCTTCTTAGTGCTTCCTTGAGTTCATTCGTGGACCGTCCTTGCAAAAACAAACATTTGTTATTTATTTACATTTATTTAGAATAATGCTGTTTGTGAATTCTTATTTTTTTGAATAAGAGAACTAATTGCAAGACAGACTGAATTATTGAAGTTTACATAATTTATTGCCTTTGTTTACATTAACATACACTTAATTACACAGTCATCTTTCGTAACTCGCATGATTTTTTTAATTTTATTTTTCTTTTAATAATTTTCTTCTATAATAATCAACTTAAATTAACATTTCCACATGATAGAAACTGTTAGTTTTGAAGCGGTTACGAGTTCACTTAGTCTGCGAACGGAACAATGACTCGGTGACCAAAGACCAATAAGCTAGCTATTCGATACGTTCCAGCCCCGTTAACTAGAGGAAGAAGTCCAAGCTTGAAATGTGGAAGTATATTCCGCAAAAGCCAGAAGCACGAGCGATAACAACAGACACAAATCAAAACGTATATATACAGCACAAAACCGTCCTTGGGGAGAGTTAAAAAATAGCAAACTAAAAGACATAACGAACCAATAGCATTTACGACTTTCTCAAGTGGGAAATACAACATGAAGGTGAAAAGAGTGCTTTTGGTGCGAAAACAAAGAAATTCTAATTACAAAATTAGGTCCTTTCCCAAGTGAGTTCTGGGGATCTAACATCCCCAACAAAAAACACACCAATATGCCTAACACTGTAACTAATAACAATAGGATTTTCATAGTGTAAATCATTAACTGAGCTAAACATATGTTGAAATACATTGAAGCACTGGACGAATGTTTTATTTAAATATGAAACTCTTCGTCAGTGTGCAATCACGAATTTTAACATTAAAATTGTTTAAAAACTATTTGCGTACATTAAGACTATCGTCTTTGTGAAGTACATCAACGAAATTTATCTGAAACACATCAGTTTAATGTATATTAGACCTAACATGAAGAACAATGAGATAACTTTGAGATTTATTTCTTCCTCTTCAATTAAATTTGCCCTTAAATTATATCTCAAAAACTCGTCAGTAACAACTTTTTATATCCATAATAACTCACTTAGTCTCGTTTAGATGATTTCCAGGTTGATATTTAACTGTATCTATTTGACATCCTTGACATTGAACATGATATAAAGTTTCATGAAAACCACCTAAACGAATTGGTGGATCCCAGGATAAAATCACTGATGTTCCATTAATGTGTATAGCATTTAAATTTCTTGGAGCTGAAGGTGGGCCTATAAAAAAATCATACAGAAAAGCAGATAAATACATTTACTCAACATAAAAATACAATGAGAATGACATAATTGCAAGAGATTTTTAACTTACTGTAGTTGATATTAAGAGTTACAAATTCATAAAAATGACTTCATAATCACTGGACAAGTTGGTAACTGTCAGGACTTGTTAGCTTAGTGAGTATTATGTTGAGATGTGGAACGATATGTACTAGGTTTGAGTCTTAAAGTAAACGCTTGGATACAGATACATCTGACTGACGAGTCCCAACATGGACAAAACGCTTCTTCAGAATTCCGTAGCTAGCTACATTCTGAAAAAAACTAGGATTAACTACTTGTCTCTCAATAATTCTCAATCAATACTAACAATTTAGGAAACTTTAATTCTTATTACTGTATAGTGATATTAATTCCGAATACAAACTACTCAAACATGAAGTGAGTTCAATCATTAAACAATACACTATGAAATAACATTTTAAGTAAGACCACTCTAAAATTATTTGGTATAAATAATTTGTCAAATATTATTTTATGTATTTTAGTGGAGCTGGATGGTTTGGTCGCAGAGATTTCATCGTTCTTCTGAACGACGTCATCAGCAAAACTTGAGGTAGAAGTAGTGTTGGAATTTCTCCACATATTACTCACAGCTTGTCTTGTAGACCTCAATGTTAACTGGTTATTATTGACCCTTATTCCGTCATTTTTTACTTCGTTATTTTGATTGTATCTCACTTTGATCTGATTCTTGGTCCATAATTTTCCTGAGTTGTTGATAAAATGATTCGGTTTTAATGTGTTTGTTGATTATTGGTTGACCTGAGTACCAAGCTTCTAAAAATTCTCTGATGTTTTAGAATTGCTCTTGTCCAATACCTCAACATTTTTCCAGTTGAATGTGTATCCACAGTTGTACACATGCATTGATATAAATAAGGATATGTCATGGCGTTTGACTGCTAATTGATATTCATTCAGGCGAAGATGAAGAGGGCGTCCGCTGTGTCCGATGTAGTGTATTTTGCAGTTGGAACAATTTATTTTGCAGATGATGTTCAGTTTTTCTTCTTTGATCATTTCGTCATTTGGTTTGCATAGGATTGATTGTATTGATTTTGTTGGTTTGCATGCTACACGTATTCCAAAATTTTTCAATAATCTCGTTGTGATTTCTGATGTCTCTTACTTATGATAGAATGATCCATTTGCTGGTTTCTGTTAATGCGTTTGGTTGATATTTTTTGATGAGGTTGATTAGGTAGCCGTTCTTTTGAAAGATAGTCTTTAGATATTGTTCCTCATTTTCCCCCGCTCAAAGTATGTTGCAATGTGTCCTCGCCCTCTTGAATAAAGTTTGTATGCAGCTGATTTTGTGGGTTCTTGGGTTATTGCTACTGCAATTGAGAATTTAATCTGTGTGGGTCGACTTCTGATATACTTGAGACTCCAGTTTTCCTGTGTCGATTCTGGTGATTAATACATCAAGAATGATAGTTTGTTGTTTGACTCCCGTTCCATTGTGAATTGTATGTCGTCAACGTTGTTGATCAGATTCTAGGTGTTTTTCAGCTCTTCCTTTTTGAAGATGACGAATGTGTCATTCTCATAATGAATTCACATTTTTAGCTTGATCACTGGTAAGAATGAGGCTTCCAGTCACTTCTAACTGAAGTTTATGCTGATGATGTTGTTCAGAAATACCATTAAAGCTCCACGACTCAATCACCCAACTCAGAGAACAACAGCCCACCGAAATCATCCAGCTGAGCTACACATCTTCTCACCATTACTTTATGTACTCATCTTTGAGTCACAATTTTTGGATTATAACTAATAATGCTACTCAATCAAACATACGTTGCGCAAACCTTAAGCTTATGAAATAAAAACTGAAAACCAATAATGAAGCAGCCGCTCTACCTAATAATGGTAATACCTAATAATGTTAATTCACAAATTAGTTGATAAATACATTTCTGTATTACAATCGCATAACTATTTCAATGTGCTTTCTTATTATTACAGATGAAATCTTCCCATTTAGCAACTTAGAATATTTTTGAAGTAACGATTGGTTTATCATAAATTTTAAATCAGAAGGGTTTTGTGAATATTAGAGTAGTTTCAATAGCTGAGATAATGAGTCAATTGAAACCACACCACCATGGAAAACCTGAAAACACTAAGGGGTCTCACGATAGGACGAAACGGCCGTCCAGTTCTTCCAGGTTTTCCATGATGGTCTAGCTTCAATTGGCTCATGATCTCAACCATTTAAATTACTATAATATCCACAAAACCCCTTCTGGTATGAATCAATATATGCTCACTAGTGACTGACTTCAAGAAGTATTTTCTGGAGTTCTAGTGAGAATCAGTGACCAGTAGAGTCCAACCAGGTCAGTTGTGAGATAGTAAATCACTGAAGACAATGGTGGATGTGTCGTTCAATTTCATGGATTGGTTAAATTTAGACGTAAATTTTAAACTCATTCTTTAACAATAACAATAACAACCACAAATCGACATAAAAAAACAATGCCTTATTCAACATACCTAAACAACTGTGTTCAGCAGATAAATTTGGAGCAATACGAAAATATCCCGATAAACAATGACATATACGAAAACCAGCATGTGGTGCAATTGAATTCAATGGACATAAACTGCAAGGTTGTAAACCAGGTGATGATTTAAACATTCCTCTTGGACAAGCTGTTTTGAAATGAACATGATAAAAAGTGAGTGAATTGAAAATTACATTCAAATATGATACGTTTTGAAATACGAATTTATGAAGTAATATGTTCTTCTGATATCATTTCACTTATATGTGTGAATCTTATCATAAATATAACAGAAGCATAGTGTATATTATCAGTTAGCACACAAATGTATAAAGGGATTAACTTAGGGGAAATTGACACTCAATTGTTTCTATCCTCATTCATCTTTTAACATATTTTGAGATTATTAGTTTAAAGTGAAACATTTCGTGAAAGGATTTGTATTAGTATCAGAAGAAGTTTTGTGGAGATTGTAGTAATTTCAAGAGTTGAGATCATGAGTCAATTGAAGCTAGTTTATTTACAGGTAGCCTTTTATAGGTAAAAATAATGAACGTTCCTACGGGAATGTATTAGTTTTACATTTTCAAGCACTGTATATATATATAATAATTAGTAATATATTTCACTGTTACGATGTTTGATTTCGGTTACATGCATAATACTGTTAATCTAATCGAACCCATTGAAAAATAATATTTCCATAGTTATAAGTAGAGTTGGATGATGTTTAGCTTTAAAATTCACAATTCGTGTTTCATCTTATTTGACAACCATCAGTTGAATATACCTACATTATAGTATTGATGTTAGTGCCTCAACTGGAACTGTGTGACTTTCTTTTCAAACCTTAACGTGTTATCTACTTAGTTACTGAGTCCAGATAGTCACAGGCTTGTGCAACAGGTTGAATTTGATTATTTCGGTAGTCCCTAATAAGTTAAGGTTATATATATATATATATATAATGTAAGCCTATGTAATTACCAATCACCTTGACATGTTTCTGTATGTTCAACCAATTCATAGCCTGCATCACATACACATCCATGATTTGTTTGTAAATGCCATGTACCATCAGACATACAAAATGCTAAACCATTATTTTCATCATTTATATTATTAAATAATTTATTATTATGAATAGAATGATCATTTGATTTTGTAAATGTAGAATATTGATTAACAAAAATTGATCCTGGAATACATTGTACATGAATTTGTCTCACTTCTTTATTATGTCCAGCTTCAGTTTCAGGTAAATTAATTAGACGAAACTGAAAAATAAAGTGTATAACAGATAGATGAACTCAACTATAAAGGTTATTTAGTAAAACTTGATATTATTTATTTTTATTTGAACACATAAATATTGGTACAAGAGGGCACCAAATATATATGCACCACACCATATTTTTGTGTGTGGGTTGTGGTACTTCCCGGTTGTCCAGACCGAAGCAAGTGGTTTTCTTAAGGGGGCACACCCCGAGCCTTTGATCTAAAGCTTTGATCCATAAGGCGGTGGAGTATCGTGATAAAATTATGAAGAATATTCGTTAAATAGTGAAATGTTTTTATAGGGGTCATACTTTAACTATTAGTTAAAGTCACATTTGATAAACTTCAATAGTGTAATGAGAAGGCGAATATTATTAGAATTATGTGATGATATATTAGCGCAATACATTCCGAACAATCTGATCATATACATATACTTGTTAAGAACATTGATATATAAAATAAAAGATCAACAAGACTAGAAATGAAGGGTAAGAGGGAGATGTTATAACTTGTGCCTTGTGTCCTATTCACATATATAACATAATGATACTGGCAATTAGAGAATAGTGAATTATCGATCGGATCAATGACGCATAAAACAAGTATGAGCAGTCTAGATTCCTTGTCGATCCTGATTCCTGCCTGGCCCTGACTGCCTGTTGAGTCCAGAACACTAATCTGTGCCTCTACGCTATGAATCATCTGTTTCAATCATACTCAGTTTATTTACTAACCAAACAGACCACATCGTACCATAAAATAGAAAATAACATTTATACAAGATCTAGTCAGATGTGTCTGTGAATACAGGAGGTAGTAATTGATAGACTGAGTATAACTCTAGAATGATAAATCGTATAATACTAGTTCATAGGTCAAAATAAATCTCATAATAAGAGGTACACAAATATGAATAGTTTAGTTACTTAACTATAATACAATAAAAATACATATATCGTACTGATTCATAATTAGCTCTCAAAAGTTACTATTCATAATTCTTTCCGGGATATAACACAATTGATAAATTTAATAAGGATTTCTAACACTATTGTTTCTAATTAAGATGTTGAATCAATTGATGTTAGACGACCACTGAAAACATGAAAGCACTGGACGGTCATTGTACAATAGGTAATGTCAAACATATACAATTGATGTACTCTAAACGTTTTCAAAAAAGAATAAATAGAAATTGAGTGAAGTGAAAAAGAGAAAAAAAAAAGAAAGTGATTGTGAAATGATGTTATTGAGACTAAATTTAATTATTACCTTCTATATCATGTAGGCAAAAACATAGATTTATTACAGAAATATTAGTTATCTTCATTTTATAACAAGAAAATTATCCTTAAACATTTTGCTTCTTTAGAACAAAAAATAAAGAAAGAAAATTGAGTCAATGTTTCATGCAAAACTAAGTGACATTTATGTCAGATAACATGAAACAATGAATTCGTTTGTAATAACAATGTTAATTGTGTAAACAGATATAAGGTATGAGGTATGTAAACATATTTAAGGTATGTAAAAGTTTGAATATCAACTAATTTTTTAACGTTGTCCTAATTATCTATTGCCGAAAGCATAATTTCTAATTATATTGAACTAATATTATGATCCATAGCTTTACACTTTATGCATCGATGTTGTTTATAAGGGCAGCTTCGAACATAACGCCATGCACCGTAGTGCCAGCATGGAGCAGAAGGATTTGTTTTCGTCTGTTGGACTGGACTATAAGTAGTTGGGGAGGATTTAGACGGATTGGGTGGTTGTTGCATTGCATATACTTCAGTACGATCAGAAACATCACACTGGACCATCGTAGTGTCACACCGCAGATTCATTAGACGTTGATATTCATTTGCAATATCACTGAGAGTCAGTTTGGGGTATTGGTGCAATCGACTAAGTAGCCATGTTCTGATGTCACTGAATTGAAGATTGGAGACTGCAGATGAGAATAGGGGCTTTGAATTGATGTTCAATAAGCGACTTCAACCGGAAGCGTTCTCATTCGTGGTTGACGATACCCACATGCGTGAGAAAATCAGCGTCTTCGTTCATAGTCTGCTTCAAATATCGGTATCCCGCGTTGAACAGTGAGGAATTATCTCCGAACTGTCGGCTCAATGACTGACGGTGTCCGAAAATGGGCGGTCACGTGAGTTTAGAGACAGAATTAAGTTACAATATCTATCTAGTCCACTAGCACCCAGCTTCCGAAGCAGCAAGCGGACTTTCCAAGCATCATCCTGATTAGCGAAATCAAATTTGTATAAGTCTTCATGACGCCGAAACCACATATCAAATATGACATCGGATTCAGGATTGTAATGAAACTCAGAGATACTGTTCGTGATACCGTCAACTGATGGTACAATAGTAGTAGGATTAGAAGTGCTTGTTTTAGTGTTAGATGTAAGTTTCGCATCTGCTAACATCTGCATAAGTTTCAGCTGCTGTTCGAGCAATAATTCCATTTTTGAAGCATCCATGTTTGCGCCAACCTCGTCGCCAAATCTGCTATGTTTGAAGCGATTACGAATTCACTTATTCTACGAACGTAACAAAAGCTCTGTGACCAAAGACCAATAAGCTCGCTATTCTGATGCGTCCCAGCCCCGCAAGCATCATCCCGTCATAACAATGAGACAACAACATAATGCAGATTATAAACAAAAGAGCAATATTCAGTGATTAGAATATATGGAATAGTTTACTTTGAATGATTAATTTTATAAATATAACACTGGATCACGTTTTCATACAATAATAAGATATCGAAAGACGTAGCATAACCCTAACTTGGTGACCTCGTTATTTTATTGTTGAACTAAATCGTCATGTAATGTCATTCGTGCAGAAAACCAATGAATTATTTATGTTGACCAATCAACATTTAAATTTTATTGACGTATTTATCTCGATAATATAAAACATTCATTGAAGAGTTTGGTTGAATGTCTAACGAATAAGTGCAGGTCATTTCAATAAATAATTAGTTTTTCGAATTAATTTATAACTGCTACTTTTAGGCTGAATCTGTTGGGAAGATCTAGAGTGTTCCTCGAAAGAAGTATAGAGGGTCATTGAAAACATTGGAAAACATTTTATCCATTCAGCACCGAATAGAGGTTTCTCAAAAACATCTGGAAAGCGAAGAGTCATACCTTCCAGAAGCCCAAGTCATCTGAAATGTTATAGATACCTTCGATTTTCTATACATAAACTAATGTTGTAATGAAGCATTCTTTCCACATTTTGTGTCTTTTCCCTCTTGCATTCAAGTTGCCGTGTACATTCAGCCTGGAGTTATTAGAAGAGTTAGGGAAATTGATTCAAGTGTTCAGTTAAAAGATTTATCAGAATTCAATCAAAAATGATATTTGAATAATTTCTATTGTAAATTTCTGAAGCACGATCGTGTTGTTGAATCTAACAACATAAACTATAACTTATAATAACCGACTCTTAAGGATACTTTAAAAATAAGTATAAATAGCAAAGCTTTTCGGCATTATTGTCAACAATTATAACCTGAATAAACCATGAATTTCCCTTGTCTTCACAACGGTTTTGTTCCAATCACGAAACTCCAATATTATATGATAAATTTGATTATCAGTATAGGGTTGTGGAGATTATTAAGTTGTGATTGAGACCATGAACTGATTGATGTTAGACCACCACTGAAAACCTGGAAGCACTAGACGGCCGTTTCGCCTTATTGTGAGACTCCTCAGCATTGCGCATCCATGGTCCCGCTTGCAGGATTCGAACCCAAGGCCTTCAGCCTCGCGCGTGAACACGTAATCTCTAGACCACTGAGCCGGCATCGAATGGTGTTAATGTCTAATCTCAACCAATCCAATTCCAGGTTTTCAATGGTGATCTGACGTCAATCAGTCCATGATCTCAATCAATAAAGTTGATTAACCAATTTTCAATTTACATTCACTCGTCAATTTAAGGTGTCTATTTGCTTAGTTAGTGTTGAGTTACTATTATTACTATTAGTATTATTATTAGTGATGGCTTGATTCTATATTATATTCTTGGTATTATATGGAATTCTCAGTACAAAGTATTTCAACAAGTTTCCTTTTCTTATTTCTTCATCGATACTGACGATAAATACTGAGTGATCGCCAGCTAGGTGTTAACAGTCCAAGGATCGATATCTGAGTAATGTTCATCCTATTCGGTGAATATTAGCAGTCACCACGATGTCTATGATTGTAGTTTTTTTTAAGTTATACGTCGAAAGGTCGTAAACATTCTACAAAGTTCTTGAATATGTCATACGATTAGTAGATATAATGATGTGATAAAACAAACGAGAAAAAAAAACAGACAAGTTGTTGAAATATCTAAATGTCACGAACAGATAGCCCAAATCTTCAAGTAGGTCACCATAAAAGATTATATTTTGTTATTTTCACTTATCAGATATAATTCTTATCGAAATGTGTTATGGATGCTGAGGAAAAATATACCAATAATTATCATATTAAGTCCAATGGTGGCCTTGGACGTTAAATGTACATTTCCTATTGGTCGATGTTTATTTCACTTGTTAAATATTGTGTAAATGTTGTTCTCTATTTTATGGTACGATATGGTTTGTTTGGTTAGTCTATAAATAGAGTGTCTGAAATACAATGATTCATAACCCAGAGGCTGTGACTTGTGTTCTTGACTCAACTGGCTAGGACAGACAGCGAAGCAGGGCCAATCAGTGCACTAGGTCGTCCACTGCGTGTTTACGTGTCTACTGTAATCGATCGATATAAACGCTGCTTATCAAAACCTGCAGTCTCACACGTTATAACAAAATGTTATATAGAATTCAGTTAGATGTTAATTTTGTGTAAACAACAAACCGTCCAATTGATGTAGGTCTTCAAGAAGTTCCAAACTTTGTAACTGAATAATGTTATATTATCAATCTTATGTATCAAAACTGATGATTAAAAACTTTCATAACTATCCTTCTAAAATGGAACATTAGATAAACTGTAAATACCTTCTACTGAATTCCTTTTATATTACTCTATATTACAATAATTGCAATGTTCTGACTTTTATTTTGTTATATGTTGAATGATGCACAAGATGTACTTATCAACCTCAATCGTTGTACTGGTACTAGTAAGCATGTGTGTATATATCCTGGGTTTTCACTGATGTGGAGTACCATAATAGTATGAGACGGCCGTTCAGTGTTTCTAGGTTTTCAGTGGTGGCCTAACATTGTTTGGTTCATGATTTTATATATATACTCACAAGTGTTATGGTAAAGGTAAGGAGCTGAAACTTGCAGAACTAATACAACCATCATCAAAAATGTACAAGTATTTATAAATAGGTGTCTATGCAAGATACTCAACATCCATTGGCCGGTTACCATCACCAAGAGCTTAATGTAGGAGAGAACAAACCAGCTTTCAGCTGAACAAGAAATTAGGAAAAGACGATGGAAATGGATAGGACATACATTACGGAGATCATCAAACTCCATCGCGAAGCATGTCCTAACTTGGAACCATGATGGGAAGAGGAGAAGAGGAAGGCCAAAGAACACATTACATTGGGAAATAGAAGCAGACATGAAAAAGATGAATAACAACGGGAAGGAGCTAGAAAGGATTGCCCAGGCTAGGGTTGGATTGAGAATGCTGATGAGCGGCCTATGCTCCTTCATGAGGAGTAACAGGCGTAAGTAAGTAAGTAAGTAAGTTATGATAAAGTGATAATGAACTTAACTAAAAGTTATAATCAGATATTTTAAAATACCATTTTATTAGTAAATTAATAAAGATAACTTACTTTAGTTGCTGGACAAGATAAATGATAAATAATTAAACGATCAATTAGAACACATGAACCATTATCACGAAATGCAATTTGTAACCATTTCATTTTTGGACGTATTTGTATTGTGACACGTTTTAATGAATTACTTGTTATAAGTTCATTTGTAAATGATTCACCATCTTGAAATGTTAATCTATGCAATTCTGTAAAATCCTATAAATTTTTTTTAAAATAATGAGAATTAAATAAAGTATATTAATTCTTAAGTACAATTATTTAGTTGTTAAGAATCGAATCAAGAAGGTGCATTTCATTCAATTCGGTCTAAATTTCAATTTGAGCATGAACAATAAGATGAATATACATTCAACTGACAAGTTCTAATTGAAAAGAAAAAACATATGACTTGGATTCTACTAATAGCTACTATTCCACTTAGTAATATTAATCTGACTACTTGTAAACAATATTTTTCTCTACTTTTTCTTACTCCCTAACTTGGAATCCTGAAGGAAAGCCGAAAAGCGATAGACTGAAGAACACATTATGTCGAGAAATAGAAGCAGATATGAAAAGGATGAATAACAACTTGAAGGAGCTGGAAAGGATTTCCCACGACAGGGTTGGATTGAGAATGCTGGTGAGTGGCCTATGCTTCTTCGCGGGAGTAACAGGCTTAAGTAAGTAAGTAAGTAAGTTTTCTTACTAGATAGCTATATCATTACGTAATACTGAATTTCATCAAATGATAATCAAAATGTTTGTTTATTGACAGTAATATGAATTTACATTTGACTAATATTTCTTTTTTTAGTGTTGGATAGCTGATTCATCCTAGTAATTACATATTATTGGATATCATCTATTTGGTATAAAAGTAATGTATTTGTCTTGAAAGCTGAAATTGACTTCATGTGTATGCAATTCTAAAGATTTTGATAAGAAAATGAAACCGCTTTCTAAATCTCCCCCAATTTCTATGATAGTTTAGCAAATATTAGTAACTACCTAAGGTTAAGATAGTTTATAAATCAATTTCATGCTCTCATGGTATCACAATACATAACGATAAACCCAACATATATTAGTAAAAATAAAACTTGATTTCAATCTGTGTCTCAGTTGAGTAAACTTAAAAACAGAGAATATGTCTATTCAGTTGGAGATGTCTCCAACGGGTTGTCTCATTGATATGTATTCCAGAACATAATTTATATACTAGATAAGATGTATATATATAGGATTGATGGTATAAACATATCCTAGCCATTGAGGCTTATTTTTAATGATCAACATTGTGATATGTTGTTAGCTTTCTATACCGTTAATGCGTTAAACAAATTCGAATTGAACTAATTTCTTGTAATAATTACAAAGACTATTGATCAAGACTTATTAATGCATATATAATCAAATAACTGCCAGTAACTATAATATAGTTTAATGAGAATGAAACTGGGGACAAACAGCCATAGTTGAAAGAAGTTGATTCAGTTTATATATTAAAATACATTTTTATATTATAGTGGTCTTTTATTCGTAATACAATTACTGATAGTACTATAACTCTTCTATTATTATCCATATGTATATTCTACTTATTGTGATTAACGGTTCAAATCATAGGTAGATCTAAGTCAGCCTATCACTGAAAATCTGAAAGTATCGGACAACCGTTTCGTATTAGTATGAGACTCCTCAACAGTGCACATCTGTGATCTCGCACGCGGGACTCGAACCCAATGAGGAGCCATGACAAGAGAAGTTCAACCATTTCAGGTGTAAGGCAGTTACCTACAAACGTCAATGCAAAATGGTCACCCAATATCATGTATTAGTTGAAGTTAAACATAAACACCGTTAGATGCCGGCTCAGTGGTCTAGAGGTTAATACTTCGTGTGCGAGACCGAAGGTTCTGGGTTCGGATCTCGCGGACTGGATCGTGGACGAAACGATCATCCAGTGCTTCCAGGTTTTCAGCAGTACTCTAACTTAAATCAACTCATGAATTCAACTATTAAAATTACTACAATCTCTATAAATCCCTATTCTGTTAATAGAATTAGTTAATGTAATCCACCTCATAACAACAATACCTTTATAATTTAATGTATATATATATATACTATGTATTACAAAAAAAAGACATAGTAAAGAGTTAATTGGTAGCATTAGTGTTCAATCCTATTACCATGTACCAATATATTGATACTGTTTACTATGTTTACTACAGATCATTCATATCAAAATTACTTGACAGAAACTTTTTAAGGTATCATTTAATTAGATGTATGTAAAGAAAATAAAAATATGTACACAAGTGATTTGTTTATTAACCTGACAATATTTGACGGTAGATTGCTTACCTAAACATACACATTATATAAATAAATGACAAATCATAACTTGACATGGACAAAAATGGACTTAAAAGTTTGTTTGTATTTTTATTTTTGTTGTTGTAATATTTATGTTCAAATAATTTTAATAGTTGAGGTCATGAGTCAATTGAAGCTAGAAAACCATGAAAAAACTGGAAGCACTAGATGACCGTTTCGTTCTATTGCGGGACTCCTAAGCAGTGAGCATTCACGACCCCGCCTCGCTTGATTTGAACCCAGGACCTATCCGTCTCGCGCGCGAGCGCTTAACCACTAGACTACTGAGCCGGTTAGCATCCAATGGTGTCAATTTCTAACTTCAACCAATCCGCGAAATTGAACGACACATCCACTAATGTCTTCAGTGAGTTACTATCTCACAATTGACCCTGTTGAACTCCACTGGTCACTATTTCGCACTAGGACTCCAGGAAATACCTCTTGAAACCAGTCGCTTGTGAGTATATGTTGATTAGTATCAGAAAGGGTTTTGTGGAGATTGTATTAATTTCACTGGCTGAGATCATGAGTCAATTGAAGCTAGACCACCATGAAAATTCTAAAAGCACTGAATGGTCGTTTCGTCGTAGTATAGGACTTTTCAGCAGTGCGCATCCACGACCTCCACCTCCTGGATTCGAACCCAAGACCTGTATATATCTCGTTTATTTGTCAGGAAACAACTTTTAATTCACTTCTAACATTGTGAATAATATGAAAACACATTGTTTATATTCATACTCTATAGATACACATTGTCTTTCCTTTCTATTCATTAGAATTTATTAGCTTGTTCGTTTGATCTTCTATTTGGGTATTTTTTTAAACACCAGTAAGAAACGATTATTTCATCTAATGTATTAACTTCTAAAAGCATAATTTATTTAATCAGTTTTTTCAAATCTATTATAATGTAACACCTATCGAGTTGAGTATAGTATGATAATGATAAGCATAGATCCGATATGTAACTATTATGTACATCTGACTGCTTTAAATGAAACAAACTTGGTAGTGTTAAGCTTTAGCTATGAAGAAATTACTAGTAAGCCTATGTGAGTAGTTTCATTTCAGGATAAAGTGATCAGCTGATCAATGTTTGATCTAAATAAGTATTTATATATAAATCTAAAATCATGTATATTGAACTAAAAATAGTACTCATGTTTATATATCATTGTATCATCAAATGTAATACATGAAAAATCAAAAGTAACCATATTCATAACGCATTTAATCAAACTCATATATTTGAAGTTAATGTGAATATAAAATATAAATGAACTAACCTTTGGTACCATAGGTGATAAATGTATATCACTATGATAAGCTAATATATCTAAATGTTCTTTACATTCAATTGATTGATGTAAATAACCAAGTTGTAAACAACTTTTCATTTGATATGTAATCTCTAATTGAACATTTAATATGGTATCTGTTTTATACAATGGACTGAATAACCAAAATTCAGTAGGTACATTTTCTTTTTCTATAGATGATAGCGTTGATGATGATGGTGATGATGATGATAATGATGATAATCTTGTTTCAGATATGATACTTTGATTCTGTAATTCTATAGTTTGTTTTATTTGACCATGTACAATGGAATGTTTTTTCTCACATATACCATAGACAATTTGACCTGTTCCAGCCAAACTTTGATATCGCCACTAAAAATAGAAAATTGTCTTTTGTAAATATGAATAGCTAATTAAATATTAATACAGTTGTGAGATAGTAACTCACTGATGAGAATGGTTAATGTGTTGCTCAATTTTGTGAATTAGTTGAAGTGAGACATTAACACCTTTGGGTGCCGGCCAACTCAGTGGTCTGGTGGTTAAGGGCCCAAGCGCGAGACTGGTAGGTCCTGTGTTTTAATCAAGCAAGGCGTCGTCGTGGATGCACGTTGCTGAAGAGTCCCATACTAGGACGAAACTGTCGTCTAGTGCTTCTATGTTTTCTATGGTGGTCTAGCTTCAAGTAACATATACGTTGTTGAAATATCTAGATGATGGGAACAGTTAGTCCAGATATTCAAGCTGGCCGCCTTGAAGGCAACTCTTGACGAGTAAGTACTTATATATAAGTATCCTCAACCAATGAAATTACTATAGTATCCACATAACCCTTCTGTTATATGTTACTTGTTTGTGAAATGTTGACCACCTTTCTCTGTACAAATTACAAAAAAGTACAATCATATACATTGTAGTGGCTTGTAATATGCACTGAATTGGATGAACATTACTCAGATATTGATTCCTGAACTGTTATTATTTAACTGATGGTTACTCAGTATTTATCGTCGGTATCGATGAAGAAATAAGAAAAGGAAACTTGTTGAAATACTTTGTTCTGAGAAGTCTATATTGTACCAAAAATATAATATTGAATGAAACTGAAAATAACAGGAATATCGAAGACGGTAAAATACAATCTCCTACAAATAAGTTTATGCTCGTCGTATTGAAAATGTTATCTACTAATCAATCCACAATGAATAGAGCGTCGAGTTTTGGGGTGATCTCAGTGTAAACATCATAAACAGTATAAGACATGCGTCCTAGATTTCACAGGTAGCCTTGATCCTAACTTTGATCACTTACGCCTGTTACTGCTCGTGGAGGAGCATAGGCCTCCCAACAGCATTCTCTATCCAACCATGTACTCGGCAATCCTTTACAGCTCTTTCCAGTTATTATTCATCCTTTTCATATCTGCTTCTATTTCACAACATAATAGGAATGTAGGAATGCGGCCCTTAAACGTTTGTGTGGAAATATTGTGCCACCTATAACCAATTTGTTGAATGCACATATATTTGTAAATCTTTCCCCATTTTCGTCTCTCTCTCCGATGATATCTTGATGTCCGGTGTTGTCTATTCTGGCTTCAGCATTTAGATCTCCCTCAGGAATGTGAGATCCTGTAGCTCTTCCAGCGTTACTGCCGGTACCAGGCTTGGGTAAAGGAGGAGGGTTGGGCATGGTGTTAGAGACTCCATCCCGTAGAAAACTAACTCGCGAAAAATACACTAACCAGAAGAAATAATTCAAACCATTTTAACTTTGATAAAAGCCTTTAAATTAATATTTACTACTGAAATGCTCGTATAGAGCATGGATATTTATAGGAGTTCCCTTTTAAGACATAGAAACTCATTGGTCTGTGAAACATCTTCATGAAATGTAGGAAAAACTCAGATGAAGCAATTTTCTCTGTTTTGATCTAGTTACTGGCAGTGGTAAGTGCTTGGTAAAAATAGTCGCACCTTTTCTACGCTCATCTGCGAATAAAAACTTGATAACTTATAAACATTTATTAAAAGCTCAATTTTTTAGAGAGCTTTTATTTTTTCACAGTTTGAATTATGAATTTATCTTAACTAGATCACCGCTGAAAACTTGAAGACACGGAGCGTCCGGTTCGTCCTAGTATGGGACTGTTTACTAGTCTTTATCTACGAACCCACGAGTAGGAATGGAAACCGAAACCTGCGGTTTTTTAATTAAGGGCTCTTAATCTCTAGACCATTCAGCCGGATCCAACAGTGTTAATGTTTAACTTCATTCAATCCATGACCTTGTGCACTCCTTCATCCATTGCCAGAGGTAATTAATTGCTTCACACTCAACACGGTTGAACTTCACTTGTCAAGGTATCTCATAAGAACTTCACGAGTTACATTTTGAAGCAAGTCACTAGTGAATCCTTATTATCAATAACTCTTGCAAATACCTTATAATATCAATTCAGAATTCATTCCATACCATTCATAAACATTAGCGTTCTACTGTCATGTTCGTCGTTAGTAAAGTTTACTTTAATTTATATTTTTATCCCACCTTTCTACTTAGTCTAAATACATAGGTCATTCAAGCCTCATTTCAACTATAATGTTAGATGAATATTTTGATTTTTCTTACAGACAGATCGATTGGTGATTTCCAATATTCATATTGTTCATTGAGACAAAATAGATTTCGAAAAGATGGTTTACGGTGGAACTTCACTCTTTATCATCATTTAAATCCACCAAGTCATAAAAAAACTTAGAGTTACTAAGAACATTTAATGCTAGTAGACAAAAATGGATAGTGGTTAGCAGTGGAATCTAGAACACACTTTTCGTCCTATTTGGATGTACCTGCATTCCAGAGTTGATGTTTACTCCAGAACCATCCAGCTGACAAGTCTCAAATAGGAAAAAAACGCACGTCCTGGATTCCATTGTTAGCCACTATCCATCTTTCCCTCCTTATTAGTTGCTTACATCCTATAAATAATAATGATAATTATCTACAACTATTATACATACGTTATGTCATATTACTGAAAATTAATTGAATAATGGAGAAAAGTTTGAAAAAAGTTATAAAATATTCAAGTGAACAGTAATTACAAGTTACCAAATGTGAAAATTCAAAGGGAAAATAATTTTTAATTACAACTTTCTAGAAAATAAAATTGAAAGTAAACATCAACAGTTACGTAATAACAATTGTAATATTGAGAAATATGAACAAAGCAAAACCTTTTGAAGCTAAGTAATAAAAGAAACTAGCTTATATTCGATCATTCCATTATTCACACATTTTGTTCTCTTTTTTGTTCTATACTAACTACCAAGCTATTATGGGTAATCACTATTTCGTGCTCCTAAATCCCTTGGTATGGCCGAGAGTAGGAAAAGTCCTATTTCCTTCTCCAAATACTCTCACATGGTCACATCCATACAATAACTAACAGGGACGTGCTACTAATTACGTTCTGTTCTTCACGTGATTTAGAGAACGAAAAGCGACTGTCCGATACCTTAACCTGGTTGGAGATCACGAAGGGTGCATATGGTCTCGAGTATCCTGAAGGAAAAAATAGCGTATGAACCAATTATTGGTGACCGACTACCATGAGACTTCATCTCCTGACGTTGCTCCACTGCCTTGTGGATCGGACCTTTGTGTCGAAGGCTACGATTGTTGCCCCGTAAGAAAACCACCTGCTCCCAGGCAGTATCATAGCTCTCACACAAACCAATGATAACTCTTATTGGCCTCATTCTTATTGTGTAGCGCATATGTATTTTGTGCTCTCTTTTGTCAGTGTTTATGTGACCTAATAAATAAATGAATGATCACTATTTCATGGAGACTTTATAAATATAGTTAATTCCCTTCCAATCGTTCCACTTGAACATAGTGATCTAATCAAAGTCTTTTTGTAGTTTGCTACGCAAGAAACTTATTTAAAATATAAACCATTCCAAGTGAGTTTTCGATGAATTGATCTCTTTATTTATCCGTTCGTATTACCTTAGATACCAATAATAAGAAAGTAAATCTTATTATCACGTTTGCATTCCAAGTGTAAACTATACACTTGGGTGCAATTTATTGAAGAGACTCAATTAATGAGTTTATCTATGGGTACGATAAGTATCAAATAAGATGTACATTTTATATCATTATTTATTAGACTCTTTTTTTCAACTTCGACATAAAGATATTCGCTAGTATTGGATCCAACATCCTCCTCATAATGACTCTGTTGACTTGACGATATGGATGTTATTTAAGTGAAATTACGCATCATCAGTAAGAGCTCTTTGAAACCATTTTTGATAATGAATAGAATTCAATGAATAAAATATTGATACAATATTCACTTACTCCAAAATATTTGTCACCATTTTTGGTCCAACTCATCCAGCCAGAAACATAAGTGTCTTCAATAATTGCTAATATGAAAGTGTAAAATATTGGGAATATTTCAAAAATAAGTATATTGACACAATTTATATACGTTTTAATGTATCAGCTTTATTTAACTTACGAATGCAAAAACTTGTTAGTCATCTAATGACAAAATATACAGCTAAACCATTTAAGGATTCCATTTATTAACAAACACTAAACAAATACAGTCTCGAATACCAAAGGAGCGTGAAACTATGATCATTTTAGCAAATATAAATGAAACTCAATAGTTATAAACTATACAATAAACTGTTTTGTAACAAGTACTTAGATTGTTTAAAAGTTCTTCTTATTGGCAATAGGATTTAACAAACCAAGTATACTAAAATAACTTGGTTATTTTGTTTCTTACAATTTATTTCTGTTTATAGTTTTAAACAAAGTAAGCGTCTGTGTGCACGAAAGAATGTCCTGGGTTCGAGTCCCGCGTGTGGGTCCGTGGGTTCACACTACTGGGGGGTCCCATATTGGGACGAAACAGCTATTCAGCGCTTCCAGGTTTTTAGTGGTGGTTTAGTTTAGATCAACTCATGAATTCAACTATTAAGATTGTTACAATCTCCATAAATCTCCATTATGATAGGAACAGTAATTGGATAGTAAAAAAATATATAACTGATTTATTTTATGGATCCTCTTCAATTGCCTACAATCCAAAAATCATTCAAAAAGTCAAAACAAGTATGGATATTTTACATCAGGATAGTCTAGATTGAAGCTGAGTACGACATGTAGAATAGAAAGAATTTGTCCAAACGATCGATTATCTATAGATCAGATGTATTAGTATATTAGAAAATGAAGCTGAAAAGAAAATGGAAAGACGGTGTCATTTTAGTCTTAGCTTTTGTGTAATGTGCTCAGCGATTTGGACACTAGTTTTCCTTTCTATTATTCTATTGAATATGCTTAAGAACGTATGTATGAACTGGAAGACACATTTATAGATAATATAAAGCGGGAATTTGTTTACATTTGAATGTCACAATCAACATTTTATTTGATACAAAGAATTCATTGGCGACTAAGTATGTTCTTATTTAGTACGAAATTTATTCTCAAATCAAGATGTTTCATCATTTATGGCACAAGATCTAGAGAAATGTGATTTTTCCCGACTATGACATATTTTCTTTTCCTAATTTTTAGTCTTCTCACATAACTAATTATCAATTTTTTTTTACAAATAACCGCTATTCAATAAATAACGGTTAACTATGGTTATTAACTCGTCAACTTTATCTTTTGAACATAATCTCCGTATATGATTGAATAGAATAACAGTTGTTTGAAATTTCATATATTGCTATATGAAAAGTGAGATTTCACCAATATCAACATGTAACCAAATAAGCAAAAGCATATAAAATGAAAAATGAACAAGAATTGGATGGAATTAGAAAATAAGGCTCAGGACAGAGTGGGTTGGAAAATGCTGGTCGGCGGCCTATGCTCCATTAGGAGTAACAGGAGTAAGTAAGTAAAAGTAATATTATAAAATGAAAATTGTTAAACAGTAAAGTATACAAATAAGGTTGAAGTATACTACAAAGATCCGGAATAACTACTCAAACAGAATACGGATATATTTTATTGTTTTTGTCATTTTATGATCTTTGACAAGTGAACTATTAACTAAAATGGTTTTAATCACTTAATTCGGAATAATATACTCCACATTTCTTTGAAATGATTGTGTAATATTCAAGAAATTGTTATTTGATCAAATTAGGTTAATGTCGCCATTTGTTGACTACAGTTTTGTCCTCAGTGAGTTGATATCTCACAACAGACCTGGTTGAACTCCACTGGTAAGGGCTTCTCACTAGAACTCTAGGAAGCACCTCTTGAAGTCAGTCACTAGTGAGCAGATTATGAACGGGGTTTTGTGTAGATTTTAGAAAATTCACTGATTGAAATCATGAATCAATTAAAGCTAGACCACCATGAAAAAACCTGGAAGCACAGGACGGCCGTTTCATCCTAGTATGGGACGCCTCAGCAGTGCGCATCCACGATCCCGCCCCCTCACGAGACTCGAACCCAGGACCTATCAGTCTCGTGCCTGGCGCTTAACCAACTAGACCACTGAGCCGGCATCCAACGGTGTTAATATCTAACTTCAATCAATCAATCAGGTCTGTTGTGAGATATCAACTCACTGAAGACAATCGTGTACAGTTTTAAAATCTACAATAAAAGTCTACTCTACTTATGTTTAGTTGTATATTTATTTATTTAAACACAGAAACATTGGTACAAGAAGGCACTAAACAGGTATGCGCATATTAATCGTCCAATTGCCCAAACGGAAGTAGATTGTTTTCTAAAAGAGCCACAACTGTAACCTTCGACTTAAAGGTCTAATCCACAAGGCAATAAGGCAACATTAGGAGATGCAGTCCCATGGTAGCTGGTCACCAATAATTGGCTCATACACCGTTTGTTCCTTCAAGATACTGAAGACCATTCGCACTAACTTAAATGGACCTTCGGTAATCTTCAACCCGGTTAAGGCATCGGACATTCTCTTCTCGTCCTCTCAATCTCGTGAAGAATATTATTGACTCAGAAAGGTAGTGAGTAGGATTTCCCTATCAGTGGTTGTATACACGTGGCCATGTGAGACTATTTGGAGAGAGAGATAGAACGCTTTCGACTCTCGACCATATCAGGGCATTTGGAAGGCGAAAAATTTCAAGTTTTCCTAATATTCAAATCGGATATATTCAATAATTTTATTTGAAGGATTTCATGGTTATGTGGAAGAAGCCATCCTAGACTATATGGTACTGCTATAACCAGATACATAACGAAAAAAAGGTCTCCTGATAGAATTTCGAGTAAGTAATACATTATAAACATTATAATATGGTAAACCAGAATAGATCCATTATCTCAACTCTGATTAGGATACATAAAAGTGTTTCTAGATCACCTTATCATTTTCGAAATCGCTAATCATTGTTCATTCTCTTCATTACTTAAAATGGTAAACTTGTTAGTTATTTTAAATCATTTAAATTGAACTATTAGCTCTTTTTCTTTTTCTTGTTCCCCAAATAATTGGCAAGATAGTAACATTATTTTTTTATACAATGAATTTATGTTACTATGCAAGAAATTCACTTACAACATAAAACACAAATATAATTTAAGCATTTGTGATCACATGATTCTATCAACAAACTCAAATAGTAATTAATATGTTAATACAAACAAATTGATGGATGAAATTGTTTACAATCTTATAAATAGTCTGTTTACAAATTGTCTTTTTCAATGTTTCGTTTCAATTCTCTTGTTGTTGTTGTTGAGGTAGCGAAAGGGGAAGTATCTCTATTCCTGAATATATTTGACACATTTTTTGATTGTTTAATAAATAAATGAATCAACAACTGTTGTTCTATTATATCACAATAAACAACAATATTAAAAGTGTTCTATCCTATATGACAGATGATTCATTTTCAATATTGATATGATTATGATATATCTAAGTTGAAGATTACTTTACACTAAACTAAAGAAATTATCATTAATACATATCACTACTAAAAGACTTTCTTTTGAAAAGATCAACACTACTGATTATTATCATGATCATCAGTCAAATATAGATTTTAAATGTTTCAATTGTTGTTAAAAGCATTGTCAAAAAAGAGGTGGTTTTTCTTTGTTTATTGAATCAGTTAGATACAAACTGATCAATAGTTTCTAGTTTGGCTTATTGACAACATCACAAGAGAGAGAGATAGAGAGAATGGGGAAGGAAGGATATTGAAAAAAAATCAGTTCAATATTATTCAGTGCTTCCAGGTTTTCCATGTGAGTTCAGCTTCAATTAACTTATGATTTCAACTATTGAAATAGGGATGCATTGTTCAATGATTGTTGTCCCATTTAAGAAAGTTAAATTTAAGTGATAATAATGTGATACATTATTAGTTGAAATAGAAATAATAGTGTTAGAAATCTTTATCAAATATGTTATATCCCGGCGAGATCTATGAATGGTAACTTTTAAGAACTATTTTATGGACCGATACTATACATATATTTTTGTTGTATAATTATTAAGTAACTAAACTATTCATATTCATGTTCCTCTTATTATAAGCTTCATTTTGACGTATGAACTATTTTATACAATTTACTGTCCTTAAGTTATGTCAAGTCTATCAATTACTACCTCCCACATTCACAGGCACATTCGGCTGGGTCTTGTACAAATGTTGTTTCCGGTTTTATAGTACGATGTGGATTGTTTGATTTGTATATAAACCTTGTATGTTTGAGATACATGATTCATATCTCAGAGACTGAGATTGGTTTTTTGGATTCAAAAGGCAAGCAGGGCTAGACAGAAAGAAGGAACGATATGGATTCTACACTGCTCTTACGGGTTTATGCATTATTGACCCGATTGATAGTTCACTGTTCTTTAGTTGGCAGTATCATTAGGTTTTATATTAATAGAGCACAAGAACACAAATTATAGCAAAATAACTTATTTCTAAACATATATTGACAAAATGAGTAATATTTCTGATGTATGAATGAGATGATTTCAATCTTTTATCAGTGGATTCTAGAAACATCCAAATAGCAGTAAACATAAAACTAATGTCAAGTACTTAAATTTATTATAGTGTTAATCACATGACACTAAGGAGCATTCTATTCATTTAAATTTATTTTGTATTTACATAAACATTGATAAAGCAATTATTGAGATCATTAGTCAATTGAAGCTAGACCATAATGGAAAACCTGGGAGCGCTGGACAGCCGTTTCGTCTTATTGTGGGACTCCTCAGTACTTCCAGGTTTCCATGGTGCACAGCAGGCCTGAACAGGTGAAATTATTTACGTACCTGGTTAGCATCATCGATGAACAGGGAGGATCCGTTGTAGTAGTTAAGGCAAAAAGTGGCAACGAAATGGTCTCATTACAATTGGAAATTATTGAAACTCAGAACAACTTTCAACCAATATCAAAGTCACAATCTTCAATACCAACGTCAAGACAGTCTTACTGTATGGAGCTAAAACTATGAGAACTACAACAATCAGCATCTAAAATGTACACGTATTTATAAACAATTATCTACACCATATACTGAATGTTCATTGATAGGGTGCCGTCATCAACAGTTCGCTGTGGGGAAGAACAAACCAAATTGTAGATGAGGAGCAAATTAGGAAAAGACGTTGGAAGTGGATAAGATATAGATTGAGAAAATCCTCAAACTGCATCACGTGATAAGCGCTAACTTGGAATCGTGAAGAGGAACGAAAAACAGAAGGGTCAAAACACACTTAGTCGGGAATTGGAAGCAGATATGAAAAGGATGAGTAGCAACTGGAAGCGACTGTAAAGGATTGTCCAGTATAGAGTTGGATGAAGAATACTGGTGATCGGCCTATGCTCCCTGACGAGGAGTAACAGGAGTATGTAAGTAATCTACTGCACAAACGAATTGGTTTGTGCGTGATAAAAATTCATAGAAGTTATTCGTTAATTAAGATGAAATAAACAATTCTGTAACTTCTTATAAGACATAACTTATACGTAAGCATTTAACATCAAATATTTGGTAAAAATATCACTTTAATATATAGAAGTCACAGACTAAATGAGCAGAAAAATAATCGAATAGCTGAGTATGACAAATCATTTGTACATGTAAACGTTGATGATAACCTAACCCATTTGAATTATGACCAACTTATATTTCATCTCTTACAAATTTAAGCTAAATGAAAAAAAAAAGTGAAGCTAATTCTAATTAAAAGAGAATGGATGCGCAACTTATTACCATACATTTAATCATCATCATCGTTCAAAAATTACATCTACGCTACTCAAGTTTATTTTCCAACTTTATTCTTGCGTAATGAGTTGTTTTCTCTCTACTAACTGGTTATCTAATATTCTTTGTATCCGTTTTACTAATTTTCTATTATCAGTATCAGTTTAGGGGTTGTGGAGATTGTTAAGTTTTTGATTGAAATCAAGAGTCAATTGAAGCTAGATACCGTGGAAAATATGGAAAAACTGGACTGCTGTTTCGTCCTAGTATGGGACCCCTCAGCATTCACGACCCCGCACCCCGCGAGATTCCAACTAAGGACCTATCAATCTCGCGCCAGGCGCTTAACCAACTAGATCACTGAGGAGTCCCGCACTAGGACAAAACGTCCGTTCAATGCTCCCAGGTTTTCCATGGTGGTCTAGCTTCAATATTATCAATATATTCAAATGGAAAATGTAAATAACATTTCTTAATTCCTATTTTTATTCTTGCGTAATCATTAACTGATTGTATAACTTTGATTTTTTTTTCTTTTACATCCGCTAAGTTTTCAATCGATTATACTCTTCAAAGGAAACATTAAGATACAGATTCTCTTCATTGATTCACCACTATTTATTTCGTTTTGATTTCATAATCACCAACAAAATACGCACGTATATATATAGGCATACTCTGAGGTTATTTACAACGTTTTCAACGCTCGCTGTGTATTGTCCAACATTTCAAACTCTTCTTTCGTTTATCCATCAGGTAAGCATTATGTATTGTAGTATAATTTTCATGGAATATAATATTTCAGGTCTTATTAAATCCTTGTATTTTTGTGTCAGTCATTTTAAACTATATTCTACTAACATGTTGAAACACGACAGTTCTAGATATCTAAAAGACTTTGAATATGATATATTTGATGAAAATTTTATAATAGACTGTAGCATTTATCCATTTAGTAAACGGAAAAACTGATTTAAATTTCAGAATATTTTGGGACTATATGAACATTGGAAACACTGTAGACAATCTTAAACAAAGTCATGATGAGGACTGAATGAAAAGAAAAATTTCTTTGTTAAAATGTTTACCTAAAATGAGTAGACTTTTATCATATCAGTGGAGATAGTCCGTGTCCGATAGAGAGAGGTATCTACTTCAGTACAATGGAAGATGGTCGCTCGATTTTGTGGATTGGTTGAAGTTAGACATTAACATCGTTGGATGCCGACTCTGTGGTCTAGTAGGTTAAGCATTCGTGTGCGAAACTGAAGGCCCTTGATTCGAATGCCACGAGCGGGAATGTGGATGCGCACTGCTGAGTGCTTCTAGGTTTTCAATGGTGGTCTAACATCAATCAGTTCATGATCTCAATCAAGAAAATTTGCTATAACTAAGTTGTAATAACAGATCTTTCTGTTGTGAAAATATACATTTTAAGCTTAATAAACTAATATGCTTGTTTCATTCAAAAAGAAATAACACAGTGACAAGTAACTACTTAAATTAACTTGTATTACGAATTGTGTAATCTGTTTGAATAAGTAGTCTGTATGCTATTTTATATTTATATATTCCTCTATGATAGAAAAATACATTAGGACATTACAACAACATTGCAAAATATATATTCATATGTTCTTTTTTAGTTTGGTTAATAAAAATGAATAAGAAGAACTAGTCATTTTAAACTAATTAAAAGCATAAATGAATTTTACAAAAATCATTTCACCCATTAATACATTTGCAATAATAGTAAAACAGCTGTATTCAACAGATATAGAATATTCTGTCGTTTCCTTAATGAAATTTTGTATTTCATCGTAAATGCAATTATCATATATAGTAGCTCATGATTTGACTCCAGCCCCTAAATGCCCTGATAAGAACGAGGGTGGAGAGAGTAAGCTATATCTCTCGAACTGCTCTCACATAGACACGCGTATACAGTCACTGACGGAGAAGTCCTGCTTACTACATTCTAGCGGCTTTACTATTGCTTACGAAATTAAGAGGATGAAAGCGAATGTCCGACGCTTTAACCGGGTTGGTGGATATGTAAGTTCCACCTTGGGAAACCCTGATTTGAAACCAGTGGTGCACATGGGCTACAGTATTCTTAAGGAACAAACAGTGTATGAAACAATTATTGGTGATCGGCTACCATGGGACTGCATCTCTCAACGTTGCCCTACTGCCTCATGGACCAGACCTTTAGGTTGAACGCTCCATGTGTGGAACCCTAAGAAAACCACCTGTTTCGGTTTGGGCCTCCGTGTAGTATTCCAGCCCTCACACTAATCTGATGGTGAAGTGTGGCATATATATATTTCGTACCTCCTTGTATCAATATTTATGTGTTCAAATAAATATATGAATGACTCCCGTTAGATTGTTTGTTGCTTGTTATCGATGTATACATTCTCGTCAATCCTCTTATACAATTATCTACTTAGATTTCATTAGTGAATAACCGAATCGAATAAATAAAATACGAAAACGGAATTTTAAATATGTATATTTCGTACAATCCTTGATTGGAAAGCGAAGCAAAATAAAATGACGGCTAATGGAGAAGGCAAATGAGACAACTTGATTTGATCTAGAGCGAATCGATATTTATAGTCAGACAAATATACTTTACAAATATGTAATGAGTAAGATACGCTTACATAAAAGTAGTTAAGATTGTTAGGCAAATAAGTGACAAGGTCAAAATGAAGCCTAAGAAGAATGAATATATTGATTTCTCAAGAAGCTACAATAACCCTTGTGGCCTTGGCATAGTACCAACTTCTGCACACAAAATTACTATTTATAGACAGAGCCGGATAGAGATATGGCTACGATCATATTAGGTCGCAACCATTGTTTGTTGTCCTACTCATTTACCCTCTGAAACATAAGAAAAGTAGAAGTATCATTAAAGATACCTATTCAGACTTAAGGCTCATGATTTCGAGTAATTAGGTGTTAAAATACAGGACCTCAACGTAATAGAAATAAAAAACCTCAACTAGATTTGTTAATAACTCATTGTTCAGTGCATGAAATGATATGGGTATAGAAACTTGGAATTCAAATCGACAGATCTTGATGAAGTGAGTAATTTTTACTAAATTACGCCTGTTACTCCTCATGGAGGAGCATAGACCACCCAACAGCACTCTACATTCAACCCTGTCCTCGGCAATCCTTTCCATCTCTTCCCAGTTGTTATTCGTTCTTTTCAAATTTGCTTCTATTTGCCAACGTACTGTGTTCTTCTGCCTTCCAATTTTCCGCTTCCCTTCAGGATTCCAAGTTAGCACTTGTCTCGTGATGCAGTTTGTTGATCTCCGTAGTGAATATCCTATCAATTTCCACCCTCTTTTCCTAATTTCCTCTTCATCTGGAAGCTGGTTTGTTCTATCCCACATTAGTCTGTTGCTGATGGTATCCGGTCAATGTATGTTGAATATCTTGCACAGATAGCTATTTATAAATACTTGTACATTTCTGCTAATGGTTGTATTAGTTCTCTAAGTTTCCGCTCGGTATAGTAGGACTGTCTTGACGTTGATATTGAAGATTGTGACTTTGATGGTGGTTGACAGTTGTTTTGATTTGCATATGTTCTTCAATTGTAGGGATGTGGCCTTTGCTTTGCCAATCATCTCCTTTACGTCTTCATGTGATCCTCCTTGTTCAAGTTATCAATAGATAATAGTCATTTCACTATAAAAAATTTTGCTCAATTTCACAAAACCATCTTTGATTCATATGCTATAATTGTAACCGATGTATTTGCCTTAAACTTTGTCATTTTAGTGAGTCATTCATTTGAATTTACTACTGTCAGTCAGTCAGTCAGCTACAACGTAGGATCAGGTACATATATGCATCAGATAACTAGTTATTGAAAACAATGTTCTTCATTGACACGTTCTTTTTTGCTTTAAGTATGTTACATACAAAATCTACCATTTATGAAACAAAGTCGACTTAGTGAATCACATAGACCGGTCTATCTTATTTATCTTTTTTAAAACAATTAACATTTAACCAGCATTCTATTTTCTTTATCTAGTGATAACAATAATTGCAAACAATAAGTAAGATGAAATCAAACATAATAATTTCAAATCCCCGCTTACTTTTAACTGGTTCAATATTCAATTCATAGTTTGTGCACAGATTGTTTAGTAATGTGAATACAACAATATAAATAATAAATAAAGTATCCATGAATATCATGAATATAATTCTAGTTGATGAATATGAATGATCTTATTACTATGTCTACTATTATTATTAATAATGTTGACTATAATCCTCATTTCATTGTCTGATACATTTAAAATTCTACCTAATTATAAAACAGATTAGAACAGAAGTTTTTCACTGTGAAACAATACATGATATTTATCTGAATTTTGATTGGTTAATCATAGTGTCCAATAGGAAATTTTTGGTTGTATTATCCTATTGTGTTTATCCAATGGAATGATTCGTTAAGACTGTTGTTTAACATGTAACAATGTAAATTAAATTAAGAATTATAGCTTATGTAATTGAACATAAAAATAGCTTAGAATGGAGCACGAATTGGAAGAATTCAGTGTTAAATGATGTGATAATTCTGGAAGACAAAATAATTGAGAGATCATAATGGGAAATTTATGGAAATTATCATATTTAGAGTTAATGTTTATCTCAGTTTGATGTAAATGGGACGGTGGCTCAGTTTCGTAGATTGGTTGAAGTTAGATATTAACAACTTTAGATGCTGGCTCAGTAGTCTAGAATTTAGTCGTTCACGTGCGAAACCAATAGGTACTGGATTTGAATCCCACGGGGCGGGATAGTGGATGCTCACAGCTGAGAAGTCCCATGCTAGGACGAAACAACGATTCAGTGCCTCCAGGTTTACTATGATGGTCTAGCTTTAATTAACCCATGAACTCAACTATTAAATTACTATAGTATCCACCATACCCTTTTCTGAAAATAATTTACTAATAGTGTTCTCCATCATATATATATATATATATATATATATATATATATATATATATTATTGGAAGTCATTTAATCACTGCAGCTATTAGCAATCATGTCGTGATATGAGAAGTAAATGCCAGTTTTATAAAGTTTATCAGTTTACTTGTTTTGTGTTTTATAAATCTGCTTTAGGTAACGTTCATTATAACTCAAAAAATCTATTGATCAATACAAGGTTGCCTAAAGGATATTATGTAGTCAAAGTATAACTTTCTTCTGATTGATATCAATTTATAAAATTCTGAAGTTAGACTTCAGGAATAAAGATAATTCAATAAACAAACGTTTCTTCTTGATGACATCATTTACTCAAGCGATACAATCATACTTGAAAAAAATTAACGCAAAAGTATTACATTAAAAAAACAAGGAGGATTGAGTTAGTTTAGGTGTCAATAGAAGAGTGTAAACCAGACTGAACTTTAAAGAAAGTTAATAAGATGATGCTGAAAGTGTGAAAGATATTTTTCAACTTTACGAGTATGAGGAAGATAGAGAGAACATTGAAAACATCGAAATGATCATAACGAATAATTGAAAATAAAAAGAATAAAATAACATCCGAAGAATTTATAATCAACTAAATTATTGACCATGAAAATTAGGTATTGAGACCATGGAAGAATGATTGTTTGTACGTGTTGTCTTAGTACACTAAGCTGAGGTTCGAAAAAATGAATTGTTTATACCTTTGCAGTGCACAAGTTTTTATTTTTTGCTCTTCTCGAACTAAATAGTATGACAGTGTAAACAGTTTTAAAGGATTTAACGGTGAGAGATAACAAGATAATCTTATATTAAACTATGAACTATTTCATATATGCCTTTCAAAAGCCAAGCAGAACAATGTTCAGAGATGGGTTTATAAAGCGCTCACTTTATTCGACTTTTGTAACCTGCTCTACATGATCAAGTAAACTTATATATACACACTGAATTGGCTCACTATGGGAGAATATCTTCAACACATCTATGAATAATGAGTCTGCTGTAAAAGACGATTGGAAGTTTAACAGCATAAACAGTTTCAAAAAACAACTACTTGTTTCGATTTCATTTAAAATGATTAAAGTGTGGAATCCAGGACGCACGTTTCGTCCGTTTGAGGACTCGTCAGCTGGATGTACCTGCATCTCAGAGTTGATGTTTACTCAGACTCGAAATCAGTACTGGGATGAACATCAACTCTGGGATGCGAGCACATCCAACTGACGAATCACAAATAGAACGAAACATGCGTGTTGTATTCCACTGCTAGCTATCATCCATCTTTGTTTATAAAGCTTGTGACTTAAGGCAATATCGAAACAATCCTCACACGATGCACATATGCCAACAAGAGACTTATCAATTGAAGTCCTAAATAACAATGGAAAGATACAAGCAAACAGAACCAAGTGAATTTGATACAGTTATTTATTTTTACCAAGACATTTGGATAGTATCATTCAGAGTGTTGAATACTGTGTTCATCTGTTCTATGCCGTACAAAGTCAAAGGTGTACATAGATCTTTAACTACCTTTAAGACAAGAACAAATGTATTAATTTTCTATTGACTCATAAAATTTCTCACTGAATATTGATTTTATGAATAAAAATTCAATAAATTTCGATTAGTAAACTAAACAACCGATTTTCTCAATTGACAACAGCGACTTTCAATTCTCATTAATCATACATATTGTGTAATTATTTATAAAACCAGAAGTAAATTCATATTACGTAATTTAAGTGAGATGAAAACACACATATGAATTATCCAGATAACATAATTTTAAACTTGGATGATTCTTTTGACATGCACTGGATCATTGTACCGAGCAGGTATTTCTAATCCACATATATGAATAATTCAATTTTCTTTCGAAGAAAACATTTTTTTCAATCTTTAAATATTAAATGTTGTTGATGGGAAGATTAAAATAAAAAAATATCAAGTGAATTTTAACTTCACCACATTGCACACGAATGTGGCTATCAGGACTCAGTACCTAAGTGGATAACGTGATGTCGTTTAAAGCGAACGGTAGTGGGTTCGAGTCCCAGAGTGAACATCAATTGTGAAATGCAGATACATCCAGCTGACAAGTCCCAAATAAGACGAAACGCGCGTCCTGTATTCTACCGCTCGCCTCTATCCATCTTTGCTTATAATGCTTGTAAAGTAAGACAATATCGAGGCAATACGCATGGTATGCACATATGCCAATAAGAGACTGATCAATATCAGTCCTAAAAATCAATAGGAAGATTCAAGCAAAACAATACGAAGTAAATTAAATATTAGATCCTTCATATCCATCAACCCGGTTAAAGCGCTGAACATCCTCTCAATTTCGCATAAAACAGTAATGTTGCGAGAAGGTAATGAGTAAGAATACCTTGGTAGTGGTTGTATACGAGTGGTCATTTGAAAGCATTTCGAGAGAGAAAAAGAGAGATAGACAGAAAAAAACTCTCCCCACCCACATACCATGGCATTTGAAATCGAAATTAACGTAATCTTACATAAATTTCAATGTTACACATCATCAATGTGAATATAACACCTCTGTATAAATGAATAACTTCCAATTTCTTATCATAACATCAACTAATTTTGTATTTATGACCCATGCAAAAAACTGAAGAAGTTCATTGAATGTATCTTTTCATTGTATATTTTCTAGAAATTTCTTTTCATTCTAGAAAATGATAAGTACATGTAAAACATAAATTAAATTGTTTAACTCTATAAGATAGTTTTCCTTGATGAAATATTCAAGTGAACATTGAACATATTTTAACTATAGAAATTAGATTTATTATTTTTATAATGTGAAATGATTATAGAATAAACTATAAATCATATTACGTAACTGCTTTGTTTAATATTAATGTAATCAATAATCAATGAACTTTTCATTATAAAATAATTTATGAGTTTGAGAAACAGGACAAAATTATTGATTAATAATGTAGGATATTGCTAGGTTTGAAGCTATCACGAGTTCACTTAATCTGCGAACGAGAACAAAGACTCAGTGACTAAAGACCAGTAAACTAGCTATTTGATGCGTCCCAGCCCCGCTAACTAGAGGGAGGAGTTCGAGCTTGGAATGGAAAAGTATATTCTGCAAACAACCAGAAACGAGTGAGCACACAAACACAATTCAAAACGTATATATATCAATTATATGTATATCATCGATATCGCCATGGAAGTATTTTAAGAAATTGAATCGATGAGTTAGTCAATCGACTGCCATAGAAATATTTAACATTTAATCGATAAGAATAGTTTAGTTAATTAACAATTAGACGGTAAAATATACGTATAGTATTGGTCCACAAATGGACCCCAAAAATTACCACTCATTATTCTTATCGTAGCATAACAGATATATATATCATGCATACTAACTATTGAGTTGATTTCTTTACAAATATTAAAAAATAATATTGTAATCCTTGTCATAATAATATGGTATGTGTGCTACTTATATCAATATAAGTAGTAAATAATGTTAGTCAATAATAGAATATCTAGTAGCAGAAGATCAAGATGATCAAGGAGGAAAGAATTCGAACAGAAAGAAATTCATATGAAAATGAAAGATCAATAAAATCGGAGATGATTGATGGACATTTTACAAATGTGGTATTTACTGTATGATTCTTAGATTTTTACGACGATGTTCTGTAATGTTGTTTTGAAATAATTTTGATTGTTCCTACCTGTGTTCTCATTTACTATAATAGTAGGTGTATTGTGATTCTGTTTTGAAATTGATGTAGTTATAGTCAATGTGGTTTGTGAATAATAATCGAATTCAGAATGTATGTTTTATCCAATTTGTGATTCGTCAGTTGGATCTACATGGATATTAGTATTGATGATCAACCACTCTAAAGTTGAAACACACTATTTATTGCTCCAAGTATTCTAGCTCTCTGAACTAAGCTACGAAGTCCAAATACCTATAAATGTTTTCAGTTTGTTTATGATGTTTATCCCCTTACCAGTTAAGATATGAATCATTCTAATGTTAATTGATATGATGGAAAGAAAATTCAATTTTCGATTGATTTACTCATTATGAGTTTGATTCAACATTACGTCCGTTCTGATTCAGTGTAATGATTACTCAATGTAGTACTTGTTCTCTTTTATGATATACGATATTCCTGTATTCCATTGACATCAACTATGCTCAGTATGTGATTAGTTATATATGTGATTTCATTCTAATTATGAATCAAAATGGGTGCACAATCAATATATAAATGATTGTGTTTTTCGACTAAAGTCGTGGTGG